CAGCGTCATACTTTATTTAAAGTAAACCCATGTTAAAAACAAAGTTAAAATGAAAAAAGTGGTACCTGAAAAATAAATTATTTTGATATAAAACAAAATCAATAACTTAAAAACACGCTAAATATACAAAAAAAGTTTGTCTTAAGCATATATACTTTACAGTACGGGGAAAACCGATAAAAGCCTTCCGTTGCACAGACGGACGGCTTTATAAAAACAAAAAGAAAAAAGGGGAGGAAAAAAAAAGTTAAACACCAGTTAAAAGGGAAGCCAAGCAAGACTAAAGAGGGGGGGGGTGCTTGTCGTTTGTATCTTACTGAAGCTACGGCCAAACTCCCACTTGGTAAGACGCCACCGGTCCTGCCAAAAGTGTGGAGCAAAGAAAATGTGCCTCAATGTTTCCCTTCAATTCTTCTGAAATGGTCTCGTGAAAAAGAGGTTGCTTTGTTGTGAAGTGATTTAAATTAAAACAAAAAACAAAAGAAAAACCCAAGAGAGCAAAACTGCGGAGAGTTTTAACTTGTTTGCAGAACTCAATACTACAATTAAGCAGAGAGAGAGGTGGTGGGCACTTATACTATCAAAACAGAAGGTTTTGCTACCTTCTGACAAAAATAAGGGAAATTTCAGTTCATACTACATTAAAAAAAATTAAATAAAAAAAATCCCATCTTGTCCTCCCAAAAAAACCCACCCACCTCCTATAAAAATGCCAGCAAATCTGCCTTGGGAAGCGGGCTGAGGGGAGGGGAGGGGAGGGGAGGGAAGGGGAGGGAAGGGAAGGGAAGGGAAGGGAAGGGAGCCAAGCAGATTCAACACAAGCTGGTCACTGTGTGATGCTGGGTGTCCCCACTGAACTGTGTTGCCTGTTTATTTTTAAACCATGCACTGGGAAAATAACACAACTTATTCTCAACCTGGATAACTCCGTTAGACAAGAATGCTACAAATAAGCAGCCAAACAGTATAACATATCTGATTTTAAATTTTAAAAAATTGGAATTGAACTAAAATAGCCACTGATTGTTATAACCTGCACATTACAACGAACACCCTCTTAAATATATATATATATATTTAGATATATATAAAGGAAATAGAATACAGATCAGAAAACCCATGAACTTTCAAATGCAAGGGAGAAGAAAGCTCCGCACTTTTATTTTACCAAATGTAACTTTTTTAAGAATTGAATTTTTCTGACGCCCTAAATTTGCCACAAGCGCATTATCTTGACAAATTTTTGTTCCTTCAAGGGGATTCTCAAGTTTAAGTAGAGTTTGTTTCAGACAGCTGTCATCACAGAAACACAGCCAAGAACTAAATGCTTGGTAGAAAAATTATTTAATTTTGGGGTGGGGGAGGATGTATCCACTCTTGAAAACAAAAAATAAGATGCATTTGTTCATTTTTTTAAAAAAAAAATATGCAAAGGAGCTTCCTCTTTTTGAGAACTGATGGGCTGGTTTATGAGAGAGAGAGCATGCTGTTTAAGAAGGGACACATCCTGAATTATAGCAAGCATGAAATTTGCTGCCAATCCTTTCTCCCTAAATTGTGTTCAATACACTGGAAAACAAAATGGCCCACATTTAATGTCAGAATGAATAATTCTCAGCAAATTTACTTCTAGTCAAAAGGGAGGTATTTATCCTCACCAAGCAGTGGATATGTCAGTATGAGAACTGCCAAATTTACTCATTGTGAGTAAAACCTGGCAACCCAAAGCCATCATCCTTTTTCGCTCAGGAAGGGAAAACTTGCAGTGGCTTATGAGAGCAGACATTTAAATCCATTAAACATTTGGGTGAAGGGGAACAATCCTGGATTATCTTTAAAAAAAAAAAAAAAGTACCACCAAAGTAATTTGGGATTCTGACAAATTGCAAAAATTATTTCTGCAACGTATATAGGCAATCATTTCTCCCTCTCAACAAAAGCAAAATAAAAATCTAATCAGATTTTTTTAAAAAAAAAAAAAATTCAACCCTACTCCTATCCGATCAAGAAGATATACATTTGTAGGTAGACCTTTAAAGAACGGAAGAGAAAAAAAAGACCTCCAGGCAAACCATATAAAAAGGGTTTCACTGCTGACAAGTTTTAAAAAAAAAAAAGTTTTGTCACATGAATGGACTTTTCCTGCCAACTTTGACGAATTTTTTGGCACACAACGGTAAAGAAGGTACATGGATGAAGCAGAGGGAGTTGCTCACTGCCCTAGCAGAGTTTGGCAATTCTCTGGAATACGGTAAGTTTTCCGTGGATTGCCTTTAGCCTAGAATATATCTTAGTAGAGTACCATAAACTGTCCAATACCAGCCACAAGGATTACTTCCTTCCCTTACCGTCACCTCGAACTAACCAAAAAAATAAAAAATAAAAATCCATTTTCATTTTATACATACTTGTATGCATTTCTACCTGTTCTACCTTTTCCCAGATTGGCGAAAGATCCAAACTCCATATTGAAAACAACTTTTGAGAGTAGGCGACCAAAGCAATCTCATTAGAAAATCTCTTTTTTTGTTCGGAAACCAGAGAAACATCAAGAGGAGAACTCTCAAACCGATTACCAAAAGCCCCTTAGATGGTCTTTTTAAGAAACTGGCTTAATTCCTTCCGAAGGCTTTTTTTTTTCTCTTTTAAACATGATCCACTGAAATTGGAATTTTAAAAGGAATGTAGCAAGAGAGAATGGTTGGTCCCAGAGTGGTACAGGACCTCCTGCTTTCGCCACTTAAAGACTTTGACTCTCAGTGGTGAATGAAAACAGAGTCCTTTTAAATCACCTGTAAAAAATGTTTTAAGAAGTTCTTGTCCCATACCGTTATCTTAGCAGGAATCCACCTCGACCTCTTCCTGGAGCTAAATCGGAGCTCCGAAAAACAGATTAGGGAAGATCGGTGGGGATCAGAGGGCAAGACTGAGGGAAGATGCAAGACTGGTGAATCTAAACAAGAGCTGCTGGAGAAACAGTAAAAACCCGTAGAACGGACACCAATGCTACTGGTTGTATTGGCCCGAAGGAATCTTAAAGTTTCTTCTTATGAAAACCGGAGAAACCTATGTGACAGTTTAGCTGAGGTGAGCTTGACTGGACAGCTGACCAAGGAGCAGAGAAAATAGCAATGACAGGGAAAGAAGTACCTACACCCACTGTTCTAGTAGAGGGGGCAGGTTATTCCCACAACTGGCATTCACAGCGGTAACAGATGTCTATCAACATCCGTCATGCGCCGTCAAAAAATTCCTCAGTCGGGAACTACAATTGTGTACATCTGGAAGGCGTTACAGGCCACGTGGTGGAAGCTGCCTTTAAAATGAGAATGAAGGAACTATAAAAAGAGTTAACGGGCGCCGTAAAAGAAATGCTTTCTGATCAAGGTTAGAAATGTTTTATACTCTTCATCGACATATTTGTAATCAAGACTCCTTTCGGACATTAAAAAAAAAAATCAATGTTCTATACGACTGCAAAAAAAAAAAGACAAGATCTCGCGCTACGTCAAAGAATTATCCAATAGAAAAAGATCGCAGAGATGAATGTCAAAAGGGGAAATTTATTTCAGGAGCCCGCAATCCCCGAAATGACAGTGGTTATTTCTTCTGAAATAAATAAATTTGCACTGCAGTTCGAAGCAACCGATCTCGTAACTCCCGATGATTGGAAAGAGATTGTAAAACATGGTAGTATCAGGTTAGTTCCAACTGGAATGTCAAGGTTTACATGATGTTAATTCGACCGAAAAGAGTTAGAAGGACGAAACGGTTCTCCTCACCAAAGAAAAGATCTGTCTTGGCCCAAGAAGGTGGGAATTTTGTGAATCAACATTGCAAATGACAAGGAAAGTAAACCTGCCAGACTCTGGTGTAAACTTGATTGTTCCAAAAAAAAAACCAAAAAAAAAACACAACACACACAGAGAAAAAAAAAAACACTTCAGGGCTGTACAGGAATTAAGATTTTAGAAGAACCACAAATCAAAAGGCAGCATCTCTAAACTAGGTTTTCTGAACTATTGTCACAAATCACTTGACAACACAAAACGTGATGGCAGCTAGGACGGTGGTGACTTCAAAAAGAGAGACCATCTATTTAGGTTTTTTTTAAAAAAAAAATAATAACAACTAGGTCAGCGTATAATCTTGGGGCCAAGAACCCTGCTTGTAAAAGAGATCCATCCACCTTGACGTGTTAGTTCTTAAAAATAAAGGTGCAATTGAAAGCAAAGCAGATATTCCCAGAATGGCAGCCCAAGAGACTCGAGATCGGGCGGGTTGGGGGGTTCACCATGGCCGAAGTCTTCGGATGGGCCACATTTCCTCCAGTCACACACAAAAAAAAGAGAGGGAAGGTTGTGTGTCCCTCAGACACGCACAGCCATGCCGTGTGAAGGATTGCAAGGCAAGCCACCCACCGTCAGAGTTTTCACCGGTGGGTCTTTTACCTGCAAGGACGGTGTGTGACGTGTTATTTCAGCCGCCGGGGAGATTTTGAGACGCTTCTCTTAAGTCTCAGTAAGTGTCCCAAGTTCTAGATTTTGAGCACCGATTGAAAGATAGTGTGACCACAAGGGAACTTTCCACAAACAGAAAGAGATCACAACATCACAGATCCAAAACGGGATCAGCCCTGCCTCTCAGCTGACGTAAGCAGGAGAGATCCCCAAAGGTTGCAACAGGTTTAAAGCGGGTTTTTAGAATTAGGATAAGGTTTCTCTTCACCCAAAGGTTTGGTTTATAAATCTTACAGATCTAGCCAACTGTGTGTGTGTTATGGAATATCCAGTTTAAGTTGTAAACTTTGTCTGGATTGTAACTCTCACCGTGTTGGTTGAAAATGATTGCAAATGTGTTAATTCCTGATCGCCTACCAATCGGTTGATTTTAAAATCCCCAAATGATTCTTATTCGGAAACGTCATCGTTCAGGTTGGGTACTGTGAAACATGGTGAGGAGGGGGGGGAGAAAAATTAAAACAACAAACCAAAACAAAATTTCAGCAAAACCAAATCAAATTTAATTGGTCTTAAATGCAAAAGTAAAAACAAACAAAAACACAAAAAAGCAAAAGAAAATTAACAGAAATCAGAACTCAAAAGTTTCAAGGCAGCCTGAAGAAAACGTTGGGGATTAATTAAAACATTTAAATCTACCAAAAAAAAAAAATTGTAATCTCAAACTTGCAAGTTTTAATGTACCTTTCTGCTGAGCGTTTCAAATATATAAAGCTATTTGTCAAAACAAATTCAACTATTAAAATATGAAAAAAAAAATTCCTAGTAATTATTAGAAGGGATGCAAAAAAAAATTATGATGCTCAAATGTTTGTAAGATCTTCACAAGAGAATTCTAAGAACTCGGTTATTCCAACTAAAAATATGTGAGAGGAGATTAATGTTAAATCTTGCCACATTTGTTTTACCAGAAAGCAAATGCACAAAAACATGCTAATTGGAACTAAGAATTCGGAGAAGGTGGCAATGTTGGGACTTGAGTTTCTTTTTTTTCTTTTCCTTTCTTTTACTCTGAAATCACCCCAGAGTTTTCTCAAAACTCTTTGGTCCTTTTTATGGAATCTGGGCTTTTAAAGGGGGGGAAAACACACTATAAAAAAGGTGATTTTTTTTTTTTCAGTTTCGGTTTTGCCTACAGCGGTCGAAGTTGTTACCCAGGGTTGGGATTTCATATTCTCCAGTCTTCCCTTAAGTCATTTTTCACCCATAAGTTAATTTTTCACTAGCAAATTTCTTGACAAAAGGAGAAGATGCTATTAACTAAGAGCATTGCTCAAAAGTACTGGGGTTAACAGGATTTTTGGCTGATGCCCTGCCTTAGCAAACTCTTATTCAGTGAAATTAACAGCAGTCTCTTAAAGGAGATGTTTCACTGGCAACGGGTGCAAATAGTTTCATCCATTGAAATTTGGGGGGGTGGGGGGGTGTCAAAGGGGAGTTTGCGAACAGGACTACTTCGAAAGTAACTTTAAAAAAAAAACAAAAAAACCCCAAGAATAGAACCATTATGGGACTTTTAAAAACCCAAAACATTTGAACATGTGGGTGGCATCCCAGAGTATAAAACCCCCTCTTTTTTTTTCCTTCCAACTTTCCGTTTAGACTAAAGACAAACAACTTTGTGAAAATTGGCGCCAAAAAAAAAAAAAAAGGAAATGAGTTGTACACTAACCAAAAAAAGAAAAAAAAGGAAAAAAAAAAGGCTCAAACTTTTTTCGTCACTCGATTATCTATTCCATACAAAAAAACAAAAAGAAAAAAAGAAAAAGAAAGAAAGAAAAAAAAAAGGGAAAAAAAGCCACGAGAGCGAAGTTATTTGTGGGACTTGTTGGTTTTGAAGGAAACCTGCAAGATTTTGTCCCCCAGCCGGTAGCCGTTAAGACTCGCTATGGCCATCGCGGCGTCTTCATAGTTTGTCATTGTCACAAAGCCAAAGCCTTTACACTTGTTGGTGTTGAAGTCACGGATGACTTTCACATTAGTCACCGCGCCAAAGGGGCCAAACATCTGCCAGAGGATTCCCTCATCGGCATCTTGGCCCAGGTTGTAGATGAAGATACACCAGCCTGAAGAGGAGTTTCCTGGGACATTTACACCAGAAAGCCCACTCATGTGATCTACACCCATGGGTGAGAACCTAGCAAATAAAAAGCACACAATAGTTCATGTAAACAAAACAAAACAACAAAACAACAAAACAAAACAAAAAAGAAGTCAGTTCAATCAAGCAAAAAACTCAAACAGGGCTCAAAGATTTTTTTTGTTTTTTAAACCACTGGGAAGGTGTGGGGGGGCGGGAGTGCCGGGCAGGGAAACCCGGTGGGTCATCTGAACGGGGTCGTCCATGGAGAAGGGAGTGTGTCTCTCTCGTCTCCCTGCCGTGGGCACGAACGATAAGTTAAAAGGCAGCAGGCGGGGCACCGTATTTGGGGGGGGGTGGAGGGTCAGGGGGAACCATTGCTGGGTCAACCTTCCTAGGCTAGTTCACACTTCACCAGATGTGTGAAGGAGCGCTGCTGCCCCCGCCCCCTCTCCCATTTGTTGAAGAACCCGAAAATGAGGGGTGGGTGGGAAAGGGGAGCAGGAGAGGAAAGTAAGTAAGGCAGGCTGTGGTCAGAAAGCTGAGAGAGAGAGAGAGAGAGAAAATCAGCAGCAGTTGTGGGTTGAGTCACAACTTACACACTAAGGAAGAGGGAGCTCTTCCCAGCAAGGAGGGCCACTGCTGATTTTTTTTTGGGGGGGGGGGAAGGGGGAGGGCTTTCTAGCTAAGTTAGGCTCGTTTAATATAAGTAATATGAAAGGACGCCACACAGCTCTTTCCAGAGTGGGTGACAGGACGCAGTGGGTTTCTTTCATCATCATCCTCTTTTAATGACCCCATTAATCCCTTACGGGGTGGAGTCTGGGCAACTGAATGGAGCTGAATGTTTATTGGCCGGATGCCTTTCCTGCCGCCAATGCGGAGTTTTGTTCAGCAGATACATTCTCATTGTGCCCAGAGAGAGAAATAACTGCCTCTACCTAGGATCGAACTCACAGCCTCCCGATTGTGAGGCGAGAGCTCCACTTCTAGGCCACTGCACCACTTGTGGGTTTCTTTCATAATACAGGTATTAAATTTGCCTAATGTCACTTCTTGTAACGAAGACCACAGCTGCAGAGATCGCTTCCCTCCGTTTCTAAATCAGGAGTGGCAAAATTAGGTCAGATGCTGCTTAATCCCAATTCCTAGCGGGTGGAAAACAAAACGAGTTATCCAAAAAAAAAAAAGAGAGAGAGAGAGAAAAGAAAAGAAAAAACCAATGGAAGTTGGGGTCCAACACCATCTAGAAGTCCCTCACTCCGCTTGGGAGACCGTCGGGGCCGCAACACCAGCCCTTCCTAGCACCTGGCAAAGTGGGCTCTACTCCACGGAGGTTTGTGCCACGTTAAATAAGGTTAGCCTCTCTCTGGTGCTGTACATTTCTCTGCTGCTTGCCCACCAGCAAGGTTTAAAATCTCCTGAAAAGAGTCTGTGAAGGCAGAGATGATCTACCAGGAATGTCTCCTGCATAGGGTCCACGTGAATTGAACAAAGACAGGATAAAACTGTCCCTTGCCTATGTCAAGCCAGGACTCTTCCTCCAGGGCCATAGCTGGAGACCAGGCCTCCTGCATTCAGATCCTCAGTATCAGGAACACGGACAGGGCACACTGAAGAGTTGGCTTCTTTCGGGGGCCTTGGCTGGCAATGACAGTACTGAGACGGGTGACATTTGGGTTCAAAGTGCTCGGTGGGAGATGAGACAGGCAGGGAGGACTGGCAAGCGGAGAGAGATGCTGGCAGACCAGGCATGGGGGCCCTCCTTCCTTCCCACTCCCCACCCCCCGGAAATCCCGTTCTCCCACCCAATCCTAACCACCCAAGGAGGAGTCGTTTCCAGGATGTTGTGTGGGCCATTGATGATTCTCCCCACTGCCTCCAAACCCAGATTGTCATTTTTCCCTCCCACTGATCTAGGAGAACGAAGCATCACACTGCTTTCTCCCCTGGCATCGGCTTACGGGCCTCGAGATGACTGCGATGGGGCAGAATCTCCAACTCAGAGACCTGGGAAGGTTTTGGGGGGGGGAGGGAGGGAAAGGGGGAACCTTCTGTTCAGGTGGGAAGAGACTGCTTTTCTGACGGACAAAATAATGCCTGGTTGACGAAGCAGGAGGGCCAGAAGCTGAGTTGCTAGCCGCTACTAATCTGAAATGACGCTCCATTTTTCCATGGGGAATCTACGGGCTGCCTTCTCTCTCCGCTTGGGAGAGTCAGCGTGTTTAATTGTCTGACCGAAATTGTCATTCGAAGGGCAGCAGGGCCTACGCAAGGTGACCATCTATGAAGAGCCTCTTTTGAAGTCAGTCCGTTTTCCACCACCACCACCACGTGGTGGTTCACTTCTCCTCTCTTTCACGTCCTATTTAGGGGTTAATCTTGGCTTTTTCGTTGACACCCACCGCAGCCAATTGTTCTTAGTGGAACAGGGGGAAAGAGGTGGCCATATCTCCCTAAGACTCGGGGTCCCAGGGAGCTAAGGATTCACACGTACATTCTTTCCAATTCAGCCAGCTCAGGGAGCTTTCAAGCTAGACACATCCCCCCCCCAAAAAAAGCTGACCCCCACACTTTCTGCTTGTGTTTCTCTATCCTGGCAACTTTAAGATGGGTGGACTCCAACTCCCAGAATTCTCCAGCTAGTATGTGGGAGTCAGAAGTCCATTCATCTTAAGGTTGCAAGTTTGAAAAAACACTAACCAAAAGAGACTAGCTGCAGGTGTCCAGGTCGTTCAGGATACTTCCCACCACATTGTCCTTCCCTTTAAAAGCCACTTCACTTGGGGGCCGGGGTATTCTCACCTTACACGGAAGAAGCCAAGTACAGGCAGATAAAAGCACATTATTTATTTAACAAGTGACAAGAATTCTAAGACAAGAATTCTAAAAGAAACCCATCGGATGCCACACAACTTCAGGAGGCTGGCAACTTTTTAAAAAGACATGCAAGGTTTTTCACGGGAAGGAACTCTCTAGAAGGAATTTACAGTTAAGATGGCATGAAGATGAGTGAGATTTGAAAAGTAAGAAAAACAAAACAGAAAAAGCACATTAAGAGCGTGGAATAGGATATCCAAAATCAGAGAAGCAGTAAATTAAAAAGAGGGCCATTTTCAAGATTGGGATGGAGTTTACAAGTGTATATATAATATACACAGCCTAGGGAATTAAAAGTGTCATTTATCCATATAAAATCATGAAAGAGGAATGGAAGAGAACATGAACAGGACTTTCAAGAAAGAGGGGATATACGAAACAAGCACCAGAGCTTTCGCTATGGAATTTGTAATGCCATGTTTCAAATACAATTTCTCAATAATGACTGTTATTATGTCCTTAAGGGACGAACTAACCACTAACTTCGTTTTGCTTTAAAAACTACGAGCTACTAATTAAATTGGTGGCACTCTCGTTTCTGTTCTAATGCAAATTTTTTGAGAGCAATTGATTAAAATTCTAATTGTTACCGACTTGGTCATTATTCTCAACAGGAGGAATCATTAATGAGATGGCACTTAACTAATCCTCAGTTTACTATTCTCATCCCACTGAGGAATTTAGGGAAATATTGTATTAGTGACTTTCTGATTTACCGGTTGAGGATTAGCAACAACAAAGTTGTTGGGGTTTGCGTTTTTAGCAGAGGGGTGCTAAAGGGGGTGCCAGTCCTATGCGGACCAAAGGCAGTGGCACCTAGAAATATAAGATCCCGAATTAGCTTAGTGACTTGCCCAATTTGTATTGGCTGCTTTTCTCTCCTTCCCAGTCTCGCCAGTATGCAGCTTCTGCCGAAGGCAGAGTGAGAAGGGAAATTCTCCATTCCTTTTTTTTTTTTTAAAACTTTGTGAACCTCTTCAGTTCAACTTTCAGTTTTGATGCTGGGCTTTCCCTCTGCCGGAAACACCTGTCCATCTGCATGGACAGCTGACCGTCACTCAAGAGATCAAAGCATTTTCCCAGCTAGAGGACAATTCTGCATGAGTGGAGTAGATGCTAGAATCCTAAAAAAGATACTCATGGCAGGTAGACCTTGATATGCTCATCTCAACCTGGGTTATCAGGAAAGAGCTAGCCACAATGTGGCTTATGAGGGGGAGCAGCCAGGACCATCTCTTCGTCCAGCCTTCTCCAGAAAAGACAGATGCAACATGAATTTAAACAGCTCATCAGTCAGAATGCGGGAGTTGTTTGCAAGATTGAAAACTATAATGAAACTTCTGAAGCTAATCTGGAATTAATATGGGAAGCATGTAGGGACAATCAATACTTTTAATACTTTTATGGGAATCTGACTTTACATTTGGAAAGAAAATCGTAAATATTATGGGAGTTCTCGCTCTAACCTGCTATCAAACTGGAGAGTTTAGGGATAAAATCATGGGCATTTGCAGGGCAATTTTAAAAATACCTCTGCAAAACTGCATGTTGGGCGGGTGGAACAGGGGTATTAATTTTTATTTATTTATTGCCGCTATAAAAAATGGATGATTTGAGAATGTACATGCTTTAACAAACTGGCATGCATTCTTCCAAACCCCGTATTTGTTTAATCCAGAACTGAGTCCAGAAGGGTGGATTATACAGTAGGGGCACGCAAATACGATTCGCACCATCTCTCCATTCTATTTTTAAAATCAAAATAACTCTTGAAAGACTGCAAATCAGCCTGTTTTAAACGCTTTGCCCCCTCTGTACATTTCTCTGCCATCTAGGAATCTTTCCTCTCTCTGGTGAGGAGGAAGTGGTGGTGGTGGTGGGGTGGGGTGGAAAATAGAAAGACTGGGCTGTAAGCCAAAAGTTCAAGGGAGGGAGGAAGGGAGGGAGGGACGAAGGAAGGAGATATAGGTTAGAAAGAAGGAAAGAGGGAAGACAGGAGGGAGGGAAGGAAGGAAGGAGAGGGAGGGCGGGACGAAGGAGAGATAGGTTAGAAAGAAAGAAGGAAGGAAGGAGAAAGAGGGAAAGGGAAGGGAGGGAGGAAACTGGGAAATATGTAAACAATTCTACGACACGCTTGGTTTAAATCCTTCTGCTGATTTACAATTATTGTGTCTTGTCCAACAATGGCAAAGGAGGGAGGGAGAACTGTGTGCTTTTCAATAGCAATAGCTGAGCAGATTGTTTCTTTCACTTTCACACGCACACAAGCATTGGTTGCACACACCTTTCGGGGCTCTTATTCGGACACTAATCCACAAAGGCAAATGTACAAATTTGAGACTCTTAAAAGACCACGACAGACCTTAATTCCCTTGCAAAGGCCACTGTCAAGTACAGCTATTAGAACCTGGGGGTTGATTGGTGGCTTTAACATGAATGACATCTGGGTCTATTTAATGGTTTTCAGTTTTGTGGCTTACTGAACTCTTCCGTGGCTTTCACTAGTTTATAATTTGCATTTTTTTTCCCCTAGTTCTATAAATCACTTGAAGCAATTATTTTTTAAGTCAGAAAAGCAGTGTAAGGAGAGTTTTTTCAGAAGAAAAAAAAAGAAAGAAAAAACAATAACGGGGAACCCCTTGGTATAATGGCTCTGGCTATTTTAGACTTGGGAGGGAAGAGAGAGGGTTTTAAGTGCTGGACTCACGCAATTTGAAAAACCAATTTTTGCAATGAATACCATGTCACCATTTTTTTTTTCCAGAAAGTTTTAAAATCTTGTATTTTTAACACACTGTTATGAAGCATCAGATCAGACAGACAAATTTTCAATCTTTATTAATAGGGGAAAGAGGATCTGAAGGGCTTTTTAATTCTCTATTTAAATGAAACTCTATGAGGAAAAAAAAAAGAGAGAGAAAGAAAGTGAGAAGAGTAAAAAATAATCTGAGAGAACAGAAGATAAAAAGAAGAAAAATAATAATAATAATAAGAACAGATATGGACATCCACAATGATTACTGACATACTTGGGGAGGGGGAGGGTACATATTCATTTGGGGTCAAAAACACTCCACTGCCATTAAGTATGAAAGAAAACTGTTTCAGAGCTTTCTAAAATTATACAGAATGTGCTTAAAAATCTAATGGAAGAAGTTGGAGGTGCAATTGGGACCGAGCTGATGGGTTCCACGTGAACTGTCAAGAAATATCGGGAGAAGAGTTGGTTAAAGTAAAAAAGCAGAAATCACTAAATACAAATTTACATAAGACTGCTATTGCCATCCCTTCACAAGGCTGTTCTCTGGTGGAGCCTAGAAGCTACGGTGGAATTAATCAACAGGATGCCCTGCTGTTTAAATTAACCCATTTGGAGGATCGGGCTGGGTGAACGGGAGGGAGGTGGGAGGGAAAACCGGCAGCATCCCCTCCCTCAAAAACGGGCCTTTTTGCAAATTGGCACACAAACTCATCACACAGAATTAGCCCTAATATTGTGGGATGGGGAATGTTTATTTAAGACAGGGGTTGTTTTTTTTCTCCTTCCACTGACCTATCTATTGGAAGACTCGATGCTGTGTCTGAGAATGAACAGCAATGACTTCAAAAAAAAAAACAAAAAACAAAGAGCAGAAGAAGCAGAGAGAGAGAGAGAGAGAGAGAGAGAGAGAGGGAGGGAGGGAGGGAGAGAGGGAAGAATAGTACAGACCTCTGGATTATTTCGTTCTTCCTAACCTACCTGAATCTCTGGGCCTGGTGATGGACAGGCCCCCCAAACCGTCTAGCTGGGGAGTGGTAGAGCTGTGACAGGAGGGCCACGTTTTTGTTCTGGTTTGGGTTGGCGGCGAACTTCACCGTGATGGGTTCGGAGGAGCCCGGCGGCTTGTGGCCGTTGAAGTTTGAAATGGCTTCCTCGGCTTCCGATCTCTTGTCAAACCGGATGAAAGCAACCCCACGGGATAAGCCTTGAAGACAAAGGGAGGGGAGGGGAAAAGAAAATAATATGAAGGATCAGTTTCCTGCCTGGGCCAGACTGCACAACTAGAAGCCAATAGGCGGTTTACCAGGGAAGGGGGAAGCAATCCAGACGTCAGGAGACGCCACGAGGCCCCATGGACTTCAGAAGTTGCCTGAAATGGTAGAGTGTCTCTGGCCAGAGCAGGAGGTTGGACTAGACCACCTCCAAGATCCCTTCCAACTCTATCTGTTCTGTTCTGTTCTGTTCTGTTCTGTTCTGTTCTGTTCTGTTCTATTCTATTCTATTCTATTCTATTCTAGGCCGGATTTAGATGAAAAGAGGCCCTAGGCTATTCCACTTATGAGGCCCTTTCACCTAGAGTGAAAATGTAATTTTAATTTTGCTAACAATTTGAATGTAGGCCCCTCTTGATCTTGAGGCCCTAGGCTGAAGCCTAGTTAGCCTATAGGAAAATCCGACCCTGATTCTATTCTATTCTATTCTATTCTATTCTATTCTATTCTATTCTATTTTCTATTCTACTCTACTCTACTGTTCTATTCTTCTATCCTTTCCTATCCTTTCCTATTCTATTTCAATTTCACTCTATTCTACATTCCTATTCTATTCCATATTTCTATTCTATTCTATTCCATATTTCTATTCTATTCTATTCCATATTCATATTCTATTCCACATCCTATCCTATTCCTATTCCTATTCCTATTCTAATATTAAGAAGGGCAAAGTTTCAGTCTCAGTAGAAGGCCCAACCTTGCTGAGTTGATAAGGATTTAAAAAGGCTCCCAAAATTGAGAGTTGATCTGCACTTTCTCAAGAAAAAGTGGAATCTTTATTTTTTTTTTCATCCTGAATTAAACTAGTAATTGAAAACCCTCTTTTGGGGGTACCGGGAGATGGGTTCCAATCTATCATCACTTCCAGCGGCTAAGCCACCCTAATGACAGATAGTGCTTGATTTACAACCACAGTTGAGCCAAAAATTGCTGTTGCTAAGTGAAACAGCTACAGAGCCAGTTCAATCCTGACTGGCTCAAGGTTGACTCAGCCTTCCATCTTTCTGAATTCTGTAAAATGAGGACCCAGATGGTTGGGGGCAAGATGCAAATAATGCCAACTCCATAAACCGCTTAGAGAGGGCTGCAAAACACTGTGGGGCACCACGGAAGTCCAAATGCTATTGCATTTTTTATTTTACAACCTTTCTTTCTCACGGTTCTTAAGTGAATCACTTGCAGTGATTGAGTAACACGGTTGTTAAGTGAATCTGGCTTCCCCATGGACTTAAGCTTGTCAGAAGGTCGCAAGAGGGGATCATGTGATCCCCACCACCACTGCGGCTGTCATAAATACGAATCAGTTGCCCAGTGCCTGAATTTTGATCACATGACCCTGGGGATGCCGTAATGGTCGTTAAGTGTGAAAAACGGTCATAAGTCAGAGGTATGTCTAAGTCTAAAGTGCTATTTTTTTTTTAATTTGATTTATATGCCGCCCTTCTCCGGAGACTCAGGGCGGCTTACAGTGCGTTAAGCAATAGCCTTCATACTTTTGTATATTTTTATACAAAGTCAGCTTATTGCCCCCACAAACTGGGTCCTCAATTTACCTACCTTAGAAAGGATGGAAGGCTGAGTCAACCTTGAGCCTGGCAAGATTCGAACTTACTAATTGCAGACAGCTGGAGTTAAATTACAGTGCTTAGTCTGTTGAGCTATCAAGGCTCCTTGCTATTTAAATTAGTGTTTCCCAACTTGGCCAATTTAAGAGGGGTGATTTTCAATCCCCCCTATCTGGGGAATTCTGGGAGTTAAAGCCTGCCCCTCTTAAAATGGCCAAGTTTGAGAAACACTGCTGTGGCAGGATCCCCACCCCTTGGGACACTTTCTGGAAGTAGATCAGCAGCCAGCCAAGTGGGTGGGAGACTGCACTTGCTCCTGGCTCACACACCTGTAGTCTGATCAACCAGCACGCGCGAGTTGATAATGCGTCCGAACCGTGAAAACATGTCTTCAACGTCCTTCTGCGTCATTGTCCGAGGCAGCCCACTTATGTATAAGTTTGCGTCTTTAATCACCTCAGAGCTTGGCCGAGCGTACGACACCTTCGAAAGAAAGAAAGAAAGAAAGAAAGAAAAAATGGAAAGCACATGGTGAATTCATACAGCTGAAAATACCAGAAGAAATTTCTGGGATTTGGTAAACATACCTGGTCATCCCTGAAAAACATTATTTCAGATCAATAAATGATCCAAGTAGCTTATCCAAGAGATTGGATAACCCTTTGTCTGAAATGGTGTACGGTTTCCTGCCTAAGCAGGGGGTTGAACTTGAAGACCTCCAAGATCCCTTCCAACTTTTCTTTTCTTTTCTCTTCTATTCCTATATTCTCTTCTCTTCTTCTTTCTCTCCTCTTCCCATCCCATCCCTTCCCCTCTTCCCATTCTCTATTCTATTCTATTCTATTCTATTCTATTCTATTCTATTCTATTCTATTCTAATTCTAATTCTAATTCTAATTCTAACTCTAATTCTAATTCTAATTCTAATTCTAATTCTAATTCTACTCTATTCTTCATGCCAATATTTTCTTCTCTTCTGCCTCAAAAGTGTTTTCAAAAGGCAACTGGACTGCTTTTTTTTCCCTCGAGGAGGAAGAAGGGGGTTCGCTTCTCATCCAAGAAGCTTCATCAGTTCTTCACCATTGTCAGAACTAACTCCTTTTTTTTTTTTTTAATTTGATTTATATGCCGCCCTTCTCCGGAGACTCAGGGCGGCTTACAATGCGCTAAGCAATAGCCTTCATCCTATTGTATATTTATGTATATATCCTTCCATCCCTCCCATCATCCAGTCAGAACAGATGAAGCTTCTTGGATGGGAAGTGAAACATTTTCTTCCTCCCCTAGGAAAAAAAAAAACCCAGCATTTTGAAAAAAGCACATTTCAGACAAGTGTGACTTGGATAGACTGAGAATCTCCATAGCTGCCACTAGCAACGCAGAGAGATTGTGCTGTTTGTGCTTTTACTCGCTTCTGTTCACAAAAGGTTTTGAATTTAATTTAATTTAATTTAATTTATCGCATTTCTATGCCGCCCAACTCTCAAGGGACTCTCATTTTGAAATTCATTCAAAAATGAATCCTCATTTTTCGACAAAAGTCTGCCCTTTATGCTTTCCTCAGCAAATAAAATTGTTTTGCCAAACCCAAGAGCAGATCAAACATAACACAAACGGAAAAAGCAGCTATATCTTTCATATGCAAGTTACCTGGTGGAGCAAAATGCTTTGGCAGTTCTTAACAGCAGGACCCAGGGAGAAGTTGGCACCTGCTGGAATCACATACTATGCCAGCCTACTCCAGCCTGAGGCCTCCCACATAATGAGACGCTGAACAACATTTCGTAACGTTTTTAGCTCACAGGACGCTGCAGGAGAGGCGCTAAGCAGTGAAGCAAAAGACCAGCCCTCCGCAACGACAGCTTAACTCACAAACCTGCAACTCCATGAAGTATCCAAATGTTAGAGTCCCCAGTTGGGCTTTCCAGAGCTGAAGAAAGCCAGCTTTGAAGGGGACAAGGAGCTCATTCACAGGGGTGTGGCAGGAGGCCAGATGATTCCAGTGGCAAAGCCAGGGCAGCTGGATTGCTCAGACCGGAGGCCACCTCCTTCCTGATTCTCCGAAGGGAGGGTCTGCGCCATCCCCTGGGGAGCCACGAGGCAGAGGGGGAAGAGAGAGAGAGCCAAACCCAACTCGCAGTTCTTACACTGACACCCAGGGGAGAACCCTGGGTACGTTATTATGCTTAGGGATAAAATATTCTTGTATTTTGTTTTTTATCACCCTTTGCCATGAAAGTTCTCAAGCAGCTCAGGGGCAGAGAGGGAGGGAGGGAACAAGGGATGGATGATGGATGGATGGATGGATGGAAAAAGGGAGGGAGGGAGGGAAGGAAGGAAGGAAGATGGAGGGAGGGAGGAAAATGAAGAGAGAAAAAGATGGATGGATGGATACAGGAAAGGAGGGAAGGAGAAGGGGAGGGAGGGAGGGAGGGAGGGAGGGAGGGAGGGAGGGAGGGAAGGAAGGAAGGAAGGAAGGAAGGAAGGAAGGAAGGAAGGAAGGAAGGAAGGAAGGAAGGAAGATGGAGGGTGGAAAAGAGAAAAAGATGGATGGATGGATACAGAAAAGGAGGGAGGGAGGAACAAGGGATGGATGGATGGATGGATTGAAAAAGGGAGGGAGAAAGGGAGGGAGGGAGGGAGGGAGGGAGGGAGGGAGGAAGGAAGGCAGGCAGGCAGGCAGGCTTAATATATCTGAAATGTGTCAGCTACAGAAAGCTGGAAAAAGCCATTACTAAGATGTCTTAACAAGTAGCTGGACTGCAACCCCTATTTAAAAAAACAATAAAAACCTACCAAATGCCAACTACTATCTAAGGAAAGACATTTCTTCTTACAGGCATACAAATGTCTCACACAGGGAGATTGGCCTCCCCAGGGCAGATTTCACTGAAGAGCAAGGACAGGTAATGTCATCTCCATCCTCATCCTCATTTATCTGATGGATGAAACTCTGGCCTTAATATATTTCTTCGCATCACCTCCAGGAGGGAAGAAACGGTCTGCCGGGAAACAGACGGGACAGGTCACCCTTACGGCCGTCCGCCACTCAGAAGAGAGAAGGGCAGCAATCACCAAGCCTAAGAGAAGTCTAGGGAGGAGGAACAAGGCTTGTAAGCCTAGCCATCATTCCAGACGTTTTTACCTTGATGGTTTTAGACTGGAGTCTCAGGCCGTTCAGTGTGTTTATTGCTCTTTCAGCGTCTTTCGCAGTCACGTAATTCACAAAACCATAACCCAAGCTGTGTCCTGTAGAGAAAAAAAAGTCTCTCTTAATTTCTTTTCAGAGAGGGAACAGGAGGGGCAGGGGGGGAAAAAAAACCCCACCCTCCCATCATTCATTGAAATGAAAATTCCACATTTTTTAAAAGAAAATGGGTTTTTATAAAGGAAAATATAAATATGAAGCATAAACGGCTGCCGATAAAGGAGAATATTTGTAGCTCAGGCTTGAAATGAGGCCGTCCTTGGTGCTCCCTGAGCTTGGTGGTTTCCTGGCAGACGTTTCATCGCCCGACTAGGCAACGTCATCAGTGCTAGGGTTAGTAGTATTGATGATGTTACCTAGTTTGGATCGTGAACTGTCTGCAAAGAAAACTACCAAGCTCAGGGAGCACCAAGGAGCCATCATAAACGGCTACATTTTCACTCTGGAGACTGGGATGTACTCAAACCTGCTGATAAGCTTCTCCTTTGTATAGTAAACGAATCTTGATATTTATTTCAAAAGCTTCTGCTTTTTCAGTGATCTCTATAATTGGGGGGGGAGGAGGGGGTTAAATCCACCAGTGGCCTAGGAATTGCAAAAGTGGGAAAAGGTTTTTCAAGGCCCATCAAAGCTTTAATGGATAGATCACAGCAAATCAGGGTGGATAAAAATCGATGATTTAAAAAAAAAATCAGATTTTTTTTTATTTGGTAAAAAAAAATGATTTTTATCAAATTTATTTTAATAAAATGCTTTTGGGAGTAAAGATCTACCTAAAGATAGTTTTCTATTTAAGATACATTCATAATTTAGTTTATTCAGCATGAAATGGAGCTTAGTTAGGTAGCATGAGGCTGTAGACTTGGCAATATTGGGACTGTCGGTGAGTCAACAGCAGGTCAGAGGGGGAGCCCCTGCGGGACAGAGATGACAGTTGATTTTAAAAAATTATGATTTAAATCAAGTGGATTTAAATCAAGCCTTTTTACTAGTGATTTAAATCGTGATTTAAATCCACTTGATTTAAATCAAATCCACCCTGCCGCAAATTTTAATTCTGCTTCAGAAAAGTCCTTTTACTTATAAGCATGGAGTTCTTTTGAAAGTTACTACAGAGTTTTAAAAGTGGGCTGCCACCCAGTGGCACTCAGTGTGATTTAAGATACAAGGGACTGGCACCACCATTCTCTGGATATTTAAAAAAAAAAAAAATCCCTCAGAAAGGTCAGATTCATTCTTCAACAACTGTGTCAGAAATCAGGAGGCATGACATGTCATACGGAATGCCTTAACTTTCAGCCACACAGACACATCAGGCTGACACCAGTGTAATAGGTAAGGGAGACATATAATTAACTGCCGAATTGTAATTTTGAATCAAGAGGAACAAATGTGCTTTTCCTTAGCAAAAAAAAAATGTGTTCTCCTATCTCATTGACAAGCAAGATTTTAGATAGTCCTTGACTTAACAGTTTTTTCAGTGACCATTCGAAGTTAACAGTGGCACTGAAAAAAAAATGACTTATGACCGTTTTTCACACTTGTGACCGTTCAGCATGCCCATGGCCATATGATCAAAATTCAAAAGCTTGGTAATTGACTCGTATTTACGACGGTTGCAGTGTCCCGCGATCCCATTTTGCAACTTCAAGCAAAGTAAACGAGGAAACCAGAATCCCTGAACCATCAGGTTACTAGCTTAACAACGGCAGTTGATTCGCTTAACAACGCAGGCAAGGAAAGTCGTGAGACAGGGCAACATTTACTTAACTGTCTCACTTAGCGACAGAAACGGCTTAGATCGTCGTCGTGAGTTGAGGGCTCGGCTGTATTGAAAGAGGGATATTTTACCTGCCACTTTGTCGCGAATAAGCTTGGCGGATTCGACCTCCCCTATGCTGCTGAAGAGGCTCCGTAACTCGTCCTGGGTCATGTTCTGAGGAAGGTAGTTCACGATTAAATTTGTCCTTCCGATATCATCCCTGCAGTCGTCGGCCATGTGATCCTCATAACCATTAGACATCTTCACGAGAGATGAAACCTGTCGAAAGGCAAGCGCATTGCTCGGTTCGGCCTTTTTATGCTTCAGAGAAAGGCAAAATGACATCGAAACTAAAGCTCTCTAAAGCTGCCTATCCTGCAGGTGCATTTATAATGGCAGTTAGCACTAGCACTTAAGACTTATATACCACTTCACAGGGTTTTTACAGCCCTCTCTAAGCATTTTACAGAGTCAGCCTATTGCCCCTTCCTTCCTTCCTTCCTTCCTTCCTTCCTTCCTTCCTTCCTTCCTTTCCTTCCACTCCCCCTCCCTCCCTCCTTCCGGAAGTTGAAGTCCATAGGTCTTATAGTTGCCAAGCTTGGACAAGCCCTGCTCTAGACAGTCAACAACAGATGCCCAAACACAGCTCTGTCCTCAATACAATGCCCAGCCTACAACTAGCTGGATCTGTGTGTGCCAGCCGCACAAGAATCTGCTCAAAAGCAAATCCTTCCTTCTTCCTCCGGATACACTTGAATGACATCACAATGTATGTCTATGGAGGACATTTTCAGTGAAACTGCTAGCGGACGCAAAGATTTTTGAACTAGACCACGGACTCTTCCTAGGGGGCCAGTCACTAAACTGCTATTTTCTATTTTCTCTCTCTCTCTCTCTCTCTCTCTCTCACACACACACACACACACACACACAGATAAAGAAGGTGCAAGGCCATAGTGTTTAAAGAACAACTTTCAGCAAGAACGTGTTCCAATTTATTCTGGAAATAATACCTCGGTGGGAGTCATACCCTGCCCTTTCCATTCCGCACACGTACACTACGGAACCAATGCTAATTGACATAAATTTTCCCAGGGACAAAAGCTTGTTTCATAGCCAGTGGTGAGAAAAAAGGAAGTAAAATTCACTGGGGGTGACAGTGGACAAAATACATGTCTAAGTTAAACAGAAAAGGCCTTTCAGTAGGGGAACTGTAGCACTCTTCACAGTTGAAATTTTTTTTAAGTCTGGTGTATTATTTCCACATAACAATTACACAGAAAGTTCACCTTTAATAACACTGCCTATTACACAAGAGCCTGACCGGTAAAGGTATTAATGTGCAGTTTTATTAAGAATAATCCAATAAAAAAAGGAAAAGCAATGTTTAAGAATGCTGTCTATCAGTTACAGAAACTCAGGTTTTGAACAAAGAAATTATTCCTGTTTACCCCTATTCTATTCAGCCACTATACCCTATTTATTTGAAAAAAATGTATGTTTCAATTATGATTTTTTAAAAATCTTTCTGTCTTTAGAAGACTGAGGAATGGACCTACTGGCAAAACAAAAACTATTTTTAAAAATTTGAGGAAGGTGTGGAAGAAGGTATGACAGGGTAACAGCGAGGGAGGGTGGGAGGAAGAATTTCCAATGTTCCCTGGCAGATTCCTACAAGGAAATTCACTGGGGAAGCCAGCAGGAAGTCGAAATGCAGAGGGAGCCCCTGCTCCCTCTGCATTTTTGCCCATCCAGGGTCATTCCGTTTCGCTTTTTATTTATTTAAGGAAATATCTCTGAAATGATGACTCAACGTGGCACAGGTTGTCTAGTATCTATTCCAAAGTCTTCATTGATTTTCTACCAATTACAATACCGTTGATAGCTGATTATAGGGCAGATACTAATCATCAATTCTACGACTGGTTACTACGCGTGTTGTCTGCATATAATTTAAGATCTATACAAAGCTAACTTTTGTTTTAATGAGCCATTTGGGAGCCCATCTGTACTTCCATTAACTCCTAGTGTACATCATTTGCATAAATTTGCCATACAAATTGTCCAGTCAGAAGTTAAATTGAGCACACCTAACAGGATTGAAGTCAAGCTCAATTTCTTCTTCTTTCTAGCGTATTCCCTTAAGTGTAGGGTCTGCTTTTCAGATCATTGAGCGTCACTTTGCACAGTCAGCTGCATCTCCAGGACGCAGGCCCGTGGCTTGCATATCTTTGTTGATGGTGTCTTCCCATCTCTGTTTGGGACACCCGTGAGGTCACCGGCCATTGACTTCTAGTTTATACACAGTCTTGGTTGGTGGTGCTCTCCGAACATGTCCATATCAACGGAGCCGGCCTTTTCTCATCTTTTCTGTAATTGGTGCCACAGCAAAATGCTGTCGAATGGTGTCATTTGTGATGTGGTCACAAGTGCGATGCCCAATATTTGATGGAGCATTAGCATTTTCATGGCATGGAGAGAGCTTTCAGTCCCTGTTGTTGCTGCCCAGCATTCAGTGCCATGCAGTGGAACAGGGTGGATGGTTGTCTTGTAAATCTTAGATTTAACACAGGTTGGCATTTGTCTTGTCACATAACACACCAGTGAGTTCTCACCAATTTTAGGTTTTCTCCATTGATTTGAAGTGTTCCAGGGGTGATGACAGTTTCTCAGTTTTCTTGATGTTGAGGCGGAGTCCAAAATGGTTGAGAGGATCATTCCATGTGCAGTTCACCTCTGGTGGTGGAAGGTCAAGTTCCATTTATTTATATGTATATGTATATAGTTTTTTTTTTTCTGTCGAAGCACCTGGTCTACCCCAATATGGGAGGGAGCATTCTTTTTTTTTTAATTTAATTTGATTTGATTTATATGCCGCCCTTCTCTGGAGACTCAGGGCGGCTTACAATGCGTTAAGCAATAGCCTTCATACTTTTTGTATATATTTATACAAAGTCAGCTTATTGCCCCCACAAACTGGGTCCTCATTTCACCTACCTTAGAAAGGATGGAAGGCTGAGTTAACCTTGAGCCTTGGAGAGATTCGAACCAGCAGAAATTGCAGGCAGCTGTGTTAATGACAGGGTGCACTAAACCACTGTACTATCAAGGCTCTTCTGCTTCCCTTTCGCCTCTCAGCTCCAATCCAGGAGCCAATCAGAGCTAAATAGCTTGAAATAGATCTATACTAGTCTTCCTTTATTTCTTTTGATCAACAAAAATTTATATATATATACACACATACACATACACGTACATATATATATATATATGTATGTATATACATACATACATACATACATACATACGTCTTTGGTTATTCGGGTTTTCTCCCACGTAAACTTGGAAGTGTCTTGGCGACGTTTCGACAAAGTCTCATTCGTCATCTTCAGGCTGGTGTTTTCGGCTTCGTGCTTCTAGGAGCAATGTGTGATCACAGCTGTTTCTTCCTTTTAACTGCCAGTGGGGGTGTGAACTGATTGGGTGGGAGCTTGGTTGTGTTCGAAACGTCGCCAAGACACTTCCAAGTTTACGCAGGAGAAAACCCAAATAATGAAAGACCTACATACAAACACCCGCGAAAACCTCAGAAAACATACATACATACATACATACATACATACATATATATATATATATATACATACATATATTTCAGAATATATATAATATAAATAATATACATATAATCGGAAATCTGTGAGGTCCCGTCAAATAAGGTTTTATTGTTTTCCAAACATCCTGCACACTACCAATGAGAATTCTGCCAAAGAGTGTATTCGTTCTTGCTACCTTTTCCTTTCTACATATGACAAATGGAATTCTTCCAATCCTCAAGCATAGATTCTCACAGCCTTTTTACTTCTTTATATCACTTTTTCTTGCACATTTTTATAGTATTTGCTTCAATGCTACTCTTAGCATTTGTGTACAAATCTCTAAAATATTATTTCCCTTTAGATTATTCCAAAATCATTTTATTACACCTATTTTTAAAATCAATTCATCCTGAATTTAAACTGAAATTTAGTTATTTCCATATAGAACTGATACTTTCCCTGCCTATAATTGTTTTAGTTTATTCATTCATTAAATTTCCATAGCTGACTATCTCACTGCTGCAACTCTGGGAGGCTTACAGAGTTAAAACAAGCAATACAAAGAGAAAAAAACCCTGCAAAAAACATTAAAACTATTAAACATTAAAAGAAAATCTGCAGGGAAGTACCATTCCATTCCTAAAAATTTAACTATAGGTAGTCCTCAACTTACCACAATTGAACTAAATAAGAAATTTGTTAAGTGAGTTTTGCCCCATTTTACAACTTTACTTGCTGCATTTGTTAAGTGAATCACTGTGGTTGTTAAATTAGCAACATGGTTGTTAAGTGAATTTGGTTTTCTCACTGACTTTGCTTGTCAGGTCATATCTCCATGTTTACATGTCTCTTTTTTTTTTACGGGTTTTCCTTTGACAATACCAAAATCCATCCCACTCCACCATACTCCTCACCATCTTTATATCCTCTGTTAATTGCCTCAGTCTGTCGTCATAAATAATCAATCCAATCATTATTTTCAATTAATATAAATTCATTTGCCATGCTATCTATGAATAAACTTGCTTAAAATCACACATTTGACTTTTTTTTCTAAACTGATACTCATCGGTGACGGTTCTCCTTTATTCAGGTGTATTATGTATCAACTTTTAATCATCATTTTCCCACATCTATTCCAAATCACTATTTCCATATACAACTGTTAGCAAAATAAAATGAGTCCAAAAATAGACTTCTGCTGCCCATAAGGACTTTGGCTAATCAAGGCTTTCACTTTTTTTATTACTTATGCTGTATAGAAACGATGTGGAGTATTTAACCCGCATACTACTACGCAGGTAGCACTCGTCGGTGCTACTAAGGGCAGTGCAAGTCAGCATTAGCACATTCTAGTTAATATGCCATAACTGAAGTGCCTTAATGCTATTCTGTGCAACCTCAGATCTGTACCCTAGAGGCTATTGTGAAAGCTAATATACCCTCACTTACTTCCCATCAACCAGTTATATGCAGTATACTGACATACATTCATGATGCTTCAATGACTTTCCCTCCTTCTAATTAAAGTAGAATCATAGAGCTGGAAGGGACCTCGGAGGACTTCTAGTCCAACCCCTTGCCTAAGGCAGGAGTCCTTATTCCATCTTGGACAAACGATTGTCCAAAAAATTGCACAGCATGGGATACTTTATTACTTATTAAACCTCATATTTGATGCAACTATTTTTTTTCTTTTTAAATACATTCTAATCCCAATTGTACATGTATCAATAAGTTTTGTTCATTCAAGACAGACATAAAGTGCTTATCATATTATTTTCTTTAACTTTTCATGAGAAAAAGGCTGGCCTAATATTGATGTTGTGGAAAGAACAAAGATTCTAACTACTTTTTACTAGATGTGACCAGTAAAAGTTGGATCTTCTGATACCTTTGTATTTTTATTGTGAGGTACCAGGTCTTTAATTCAAACTGTAGTGATTCTAAACAAAACATGGAAATAGTAGCACTATAAAAATAGCTCACAGGGAAAGTTCCCATGCTAACTCACCAAACTTTGGCTATTTTATGGAGAAAAGCACCATAGTGTGTTTTTCTTTTATTTCTCTGTAATAGGGAAATAATAAGTGCCAGTCTTCCAACTCCCAAGCCAAAAAGGCTCAGAGGCCACTGCAATGATTAGAGATCCAGGTTGAAAGTTCTATTCAGCTATGCAGACATTCAATTAACTTCAACTGACCACAAAGCCCAACTAACTTTGCCTAGAATGCTGATTCAGTTAATAATTCTGAATGAGGACCTGAGGACACAGATAAAACATTCAAGTGCTAAAAGGATGCAGATTACCAGTTGTCTGCAAGGTGTATAAATCCTTCCATTCCCCACTATCCTAGCAGAGCTGAAGAAGCTTTTTGGAGAAGCAAAATGCCTTCAAAAGGAAAAACAAGTCCAGTTGCCTCATGAAAAAGCATCTTTGGGACAACCAGGACCTGAATGGCTAAGAATTTGTACAGACTCCTAAATGAGGACCATAAATACTTATAGAGTATCAACATTTTAGATCACTGTATGTGCCATTAGGCCAGTGTTCACTCTTAATTATCACAAACACTGGCTCCTCCAGGATACACTATTTAGCTTTACCTTCCTGACAGAAGTGTTATATACAAGTAATCCTCGACTTATGACCACAATTGAGCCCAAACTTTCTACTGTTAAGTGAGACATATGTTAAGTGAGTTTTACCCCATTCTATGACCTTTCTTGCCACAGTTTTTATTGCTGTGAGCCACCCCGAGTCCTTTCCGGAGAGAGGGCAGCATATAAGCTTAATTAATTAATTAATTAATAGTTGTTAAGTGAATCACTGCAGATAGTAACTTGGTTGTTAAGTGAATCTGGCTTCTCCATTGACTTTACTTGTCAGAATGTCGCAAAAGGGGATCACATGAGCCCCGAGACGCGGCAATGGTCATAAGTATGAACCAGTTGCCAAGCATCTGAATTTTGATCACATGATCATGGAGATACTGCATCAGTCATTAAGAATGAAAAATGGTCATAAGTCATTTTTTTTCAGCACCATTGTAACTTCACTAAATGGACTGTTGTAAGTCGAGGACTACCTGTATTAACAGCAATAGTAGGTTATGTAAAATGTTAAATCATATAGTGCAGAAAGGAACTACTAACATCTGAGTCAGTCTCCTATAAACAAGTTTGTAAACAATCTTTCAGTTTTTTGAGGATTAGAGAAAGGTATCCCTGAAATAAAGTTGATTTGCCACAGATTCTTTAATTCACAAGGAGGTTTTCATTTAGCCCTTCTTAAAAAAAACCTAGTAAATGACTAGCATCTACTATGAGATTTAATATTTTACGTAACCTATGGACTGCAAGCTATGTCCTTACTCTTCTTGTAGTCTTATAATATTAGAGAATATTTCTAGCTAGGGTTAAAATGTGGGGTCTTTGGTGCTCACTGAGCTGAATCGTTGGCGGCAGATATTTCTTCCACATACTGATGAGGTTATCTAGCGAGGTAATGAAAAGTCTGCAAGAAAACAGAATAGAATAACAGAATCAGAGTTGGAAGGGGCGTTGGAGGTCTAGTCCAATCTCCTGCTCAGGCAGGAAAAACTATAGCATTTCAGACAAAAATGGTTGTCCAATCTCCTGTTAAAAACTTCCAGTGTCAGAGCATTCACAACTTCTGGCGGCAAGCTGTTCCACTGATTAATTATTCTGTCAGGAAGTTTCTCCTTAGTTCCAGGTTGCTTCTCTCCTTGGTTTCCATCCGTTGCTTCTTGTCCTGTCCACAGGTGCTTTGGAGAATAAATTGACCCCTCCTCTTTGCTATAACCCCTTAGCTATTGTACCGCTGCTAACATGTTAACCCCCCTCCTTCTTTTCATTAAACTAGAAATACCCAATTCCTGCAACTGTTCTTCATATGTTTTATCCTCCAGTCCCCTCAATCATCTTTGTTGCTCTTCTCTGCACTCTTTCTAGAGTCTCAAAATCTTTTTTATAGTGTGGTGACCAGAACTGGGTGCAATATTCCAGGTGTGAGTAACAGAATCACAGAGTTGGAAGGCACCTTGGAGGTCCTCTAGTCCAACCCTCTGCTCAGGCAGGAAACCGTACACCACTTCAGACAAACGGTTTGTCCAGTCTCTTCTTCAAAGCCTCCAGTGATGGGAGCGCCCACAACTTCTGGTGGCAAGCTGTTCTGCTGGTTAATTTGTTCTCACTGTCAGGAAATTTCTCCTTAGTTCTAGGTTGCTTCTCTCCTTGATTAATTTCCATCCTTTGCTTCTTCTCCTGCCTTCGGGTGCTTTGGAGAATAGGTTGACCCCCCCTCTTCTTTGAGGCAGCCCCTCAGATATTGGAAGGGGTGCTATTATGTCATTTCCCCTCCACCCACGCCAGTCCTTCTTTTCATTAAGCAAAATCACAGTGTTAGAAAAGGGACCTTGCAGGTCCTCTAGTCCAGGGGTGGGCAATTGTAGCTCTTTTACAACCTGTGGACTGCAACTTGAAAAGCACCCGGAGGCTCCAACTGGTCCAAAATGCGTCCGCGCAGGTGGTTATGGACGCAACTCATTGTGCCCACGTGACACCCCTCCTGCGCGAGCTGCACTGGCTCCCAGTGGTCTTCCGGGTGCGATTCAAGGTGTTGGTTACCACCTTTAAAGCACTCCATGGCACTGGACCCAGGTACCTTCGAGACCGTCTTCTGCCACCAGTAGCCTCCCACCAGCCAGTTCGCTCCCACAGAGAGGGCCTCCTCAGGGTGCCATCGGCCAAATTATGTCGGCTGGCGACCCCCAGGGGGAGGGCCTTCTCTGTGGGAGCCCCAGCCCTGTGGAATGAACTGCCCCCGGAAATACGTAAGATCTCCGACCTCCGGGTGTTTCGCTGCGCACTGAAGACCCTGTTGTTCCGCCAGGCAGGGCTGTCAATATAATAATTTTAATTGGTTTTAAATGTGGGATTTTAAATTTGGGGGGTTTAAAATTGGGCCAATTATTTAATAATTTTAATAATTTTTTAAATTTTGTGCTTTTAATCAGGCTGTACGCCGCCCTGAGTCCTCCGGGAGAAGGGCGGTATAGAAATAAAATTAATAATAAATAAATAATAATTAAATAAACTCCCAGAATTCCTGAGACAGCCAAGCTGTTGGAAGTCCACACAGGCTGTAAAAGAGCCACAACCGCCCACCCCTCCTCTAGTCCAACCCGCTGCTCAAAAACCGTATCGTTTCAGGGGAAAACGATTGCCCCCCCCACCTTCTCTTCAAAACCACCCCTACCTCAGAGAGCCCCGCGCCTCATCAACTACCGTCAGGTAGGCCATTTTGCCTGGAAACCTGGCTTTTCCACCCTCAACCGAAGGCAGAGGGAAAGGGAGAGGTCGCTAAAGCGTTTCTACGTGGGGGGATTTTAAAAACAAAAAACGGGTCAAAACGTCGGGGGGGGGGAAAGGGGGCGATCCGAGGAAGGGCCTCCCTGCAGGGCCTTCCGGGCGAAAAGAGGCCTGTACGCTCGCCCCTCCCTCCCTCCCTTCCCTCCGCAACAATGGCGCCGCGGCCTCCATGCCCGGCGTGAGGAAAATGGCCGGCTCGGCCTACCTTCTTTTTCAAAACTGAGGCCTCGTCGAGGAAAACGCGTCCCTGGAATCCGCCCGGGAAAAAAAAAAAAGAGGAGGAGGAGCTAAGAGGAGGTCGCGCGCGCCGGGCAATTCTACCGCCGGTCCGGGGATTATGACGCAATTCCCGCGCCCTGTGACGTCACGGCACGCCCCGCCCACGTAAGGGCCCTGCGCCGCGGCTTTCCCTCCCTCCCTCCCTCCCACCTCGGCCGCGCAGCCGCAGCACGCAGGCCACGCCCCCTTCGCGTCAGAAGAGCTCCGCCAGGCCGCAAAGCAGCCCTTCCTCACTGCCGACACCTCCTCCTCCTCCCCCTCCCTTTCTCCCCCCCCCCACGCCCAACCGACTCGGCCGCGCTCACCTGACGACGGCTGCGGCGAGGCGCCGAAGAGAGGAAGATGGCGGCGGCGGGGAGAAGGGGAGGGGAGGGACGAAGAGGAGGAAGAAACGGCGGCAGCGAAGCGACGGAGAAGGAAGAAGAAGGGGGAGGGGAGAAAAAAAAGCTGGCGGGGGTCCCTCCGGCCGCGCGACGAGTCGCTCCCTCAATCAGCGGCGGCAGCAGGAGGAGGAGGAGGAGGAGGCGGGTGGCGTTGCTGGCCACGCCCACTCCCCGCGCCCGCCGCTCATTGGCCGCGGAGCGGGTGACGGACGGCGTCCATTGGCCCGAAGCTGCGCCGTTCAAAAGCCGCTGTCTCGCGCGAGCGCCGCCAAGCAAAGGGTGGCGTGGGGGGCGTAGAAAAGAGGAGGGCGCCTGCGGAAAGGGGAGGGGGGAGGCAGCTGGAGAGCTGCGCCTGCGCAGTTGCGCCCGCTTGGGCTCTGGTTTCCCACGTTATTTTCTGGCCCGACTTGGAACTGGGTGGGTGGGCTAGAAATTCACGCGTGGGGCGGGTCCCCATATTGCAAAGACAAAAGGTCCAACACCCCCCCCAAGCAGAAGACTATCCCATTTTCAAACAAGTGGCTGGCCAGTCTCTTCTTAAAATCCTCCAGGGATGGAGCACCCACAACCTCTAGTGGCAAGCAGTTCCACTGGTGAATGGCCCTCGCTCTTAGGAAGTTTCTCCTTCCTTCCAAGTGGCTTCTCTCCTTGAATGAAAGTCTGTAGCGATTCTCCATCATCCAGGTCCCTGGTTGTCCCAAAAGTGGTTTTTTTTTTCTTTTTCTGGAGGCAACTGGACTTCCTTGTTTTTTTTTTCTTTTGAAGACATTTCGCTTCTCATCCGAGAAGCTTCTTCAGCTCTGACTGGATGGTGGGGAAGGGAAGGATTGATACTCCTTGCAGACAGCCGGTCATTTGCATCCTTTTTGGAGTTTCCATCTGTTATTTCTTGTCCTGCCTTCAGGGGCTTTGGCGAATAGCTTGACGCTCCCTCTTCTTTGTGGCAGCCCCTCAAATACAGGAAGGCTGCTATGATGTGCCCCCTAGTCGTCCTTTTCTCTAGACTGGCCATACCCAATTCCTGCAACCGTTCTTTCTTTCTTTTATTAGATTTATATACCGCCCTACTCCCGAAGGACTCAGGGCGGTGAACAAGCACAAAAAATAAAATACATAAATACAAAAATTTAAAAGCAAAAATAAAACCAGATTAAACAATTTAGCCCGAGACAAATTTAAAACATCCCAATGTTTTAGTCCCTAGGCTCTTAATCATCTTAGTTTCTCTTCTTTGCACTTTTTCTAAAAATCTTAATCTCTTTTTTTTGTTTGCTTGGCTGGCTGGGGAATTCTGGCTGGGAGTTGAAGTCCCCATGCCTTAAAAGTTGCCGAGTTTGAGAAATATTGCTACAGGCCCTTGCTGCCTCTGCGGCTGTTTCTTCATCTCCCTCCTTTCCCCAGTATTGCCATCAATAATTCCTCTTCTCTCTCGCTTTCTCTCTCATGCTCTTTCATCCCCACATCCTCCTCTTCAATCTTTCCTCTGCTCTGGAGGTTTCTCCCATCCTAGCCAGCCCCTCCGTTGCATGCAAAAATCTCCACCATTTCACAATTGACAGTGAGATCGCTTCCTTGGACAAACGTCCATTCTTTGCAGCACACTTGATACCTTCCATCTCCATTGCTGCCACTCCTTTTATATAGCTGATTCTATAGCTGCACAACTCAAATCAAGCGATTAAGCGGCTTACAGTTCTAACATTACGGAACAATTAATTTAATTTAATTTAATATTTAAATTTATATACCGCCCTTCTCCCGAAGGACTCAGGGCGGTGAACAGCCATAGATAAAAAACATAGAATGCAAAATTTAAAAACAATTTAAAAATATATTAAGCAATTTGGCCCAACAGTTAAAATCCCCCATTTAAAATTCAAATTAAAAGTACACCATTGGAGAGTTAGGCCAACCCGGCTTGATGAAATAAAAAAGTTTTGAGGGCCCGACGGAAAGTACGTAGATCCGGAAGCGTCCGTATCTCCGGGGGGAGCTCGTTCCAGAGGGCAGGTGCTCCCACAGAGAAAGCTCTCCCCCTGGGAGCCGCCAGTTGACATTGTTTGGCCAACGGCACCCGGACGAGCCCCTCTCTGTGGGAGCGTACTGGCTGGTGGGAGGCTCTCGGTGGCAGAAGGCGGTCTGGTAAGTATCCAGGTCCTAAGCCATGGAGCGCTCTAAAGGTGGTCACCAACACCTTGAATCGCACACGGAAGACCACCGGGACCCAGTGCAGCTCACGCAGGAGAGGTGTTACATGGGAGCGCCAAGATGCTCCCATAATCACCCACGCAGCCGCATTCTGGACCAGTTGGAGCCTCCGGGTGCTCTTCAAAGGGAGCCCCATGTAGAGAGCGTTACAGGTGGGAAGTGACGAGAACATGAGTGACCGTGCGTAATGAGTCCCGATCCAGAAAGGGAGCAATTGACGAATCAGACGAACCTGATGAAAAATCCTCCCAGTCACGGCCGTCAAATGCTCTTCTAAAGACAGCCGTGCATCCAGGAGGACACCCAAGTTGCGAGCCCTCTCCGTGGGGGCCAGTGACTCGCCCCCAATAGTCAGAGATGGCACCAACTGACTATATCGGGACGCCGGGAGCCACAGCCACTCAGTCTTTGATGGGTTGATCTTGAGCCTGTTTCTCCCCATCCAGATCCACACGGCCTCCAGACACCGGGACATCACGTCAAGGGCATCGTTGGGGTGGCCTGGGGTGGAGATGTACAGCTGAGTGTCATCAGCGTACTGATGGTACTTCACCCCGAAACCACGGATGATCTCACCCAGCGGCTTCACATAAAAGTTGAACAGAAGGGGCGAGAGGACCGACCCCTGTGGCACCCCGCATACAAGGCGCCTCGGGGTCAACCTGTGGCCCCCCGTCAACACAAACTGCGACTGGTCAGAGAGGAAGGAGGAGAACCACCGTAGCATGGTGCCCCCCACCCCTAACTCTTCCAACTGGCGCAGCATGATACCATGGTCGATGGTATCAAAAGCCGCTGAGAGATCTAACAGGACCAGGACAGAGGAGCAACCCCTGTCCCGAGCCCTCCAGAGATCATCCACCAACGCGACCAATGCCGTTTCTGTGCTATGCCTAGGTCTGAATGAAAATAATAAAAATAAAAATAAAAATACATTCAGAAAAGAATTGGTGCATCATCACGTTTCTCCGTCCTTCTCTTTTTCCTGTTTTTAGAAAGGATTTTACCATTGTGAAAAACAACACACACGAAATCATATGCAGCACGGGTTGTCCTCCACTTTCAAAGGCTCACTTAGTGACTGGTCAAAGTTACAACGGCACTTAAAAAAGTGACTGATGACCATATTTCACACTGACCGTTGCAGCATCCCCAGGGTCACATTTATGACGGTCGCAGTGTCTCGGGGTCATGTGTTCCCCTTTTGCAACCTTCTGAAAAGCAGTGGGGAAACCAGAGTCCCTTAACAACCATGCAACTAAATTAACAAATGTAGTGTTTCACTTAACAGACGTGGCGAGAAATGTCATAAAACGGGGCTCAATTGTAGTCGTAAGTTGAGGACTACCTCTCCTTGCTTTTCACCATTTCTGCATTGTTCTCCATTTCTCTGGTCAAAGCACAAATTAAACTTGGTTGTTGACAAGCTTCTTGCATTTTTTAACCTGCTTTTGAACCGCTAGGTTGGCAGAAGCTGGGACAAGTCAAAGGAGCTCACTCATTACGCGGCACTAGGGATTCGAACCGCTGAACTGCCAGCCTTTCGATCGACAAGCTCAGCGTCTTAGCCACTGAGCTAAGCCACCAGATAGATGATAGGTAGATAATAATGATGGATGGATGTTTGGGTAGGAAGGGATGTAGATGATAGATATGGATGGATGGATGGATGGCTAGGTAAGTGGATGATAGGTAGGTAGATGATAGATAGATAGATAGATAGATAGATAGATAGATAGATAGATAAGGATGGATGGATGGATAGGAAGGGATGTAGATGATATGGATGGATGGATGGATAGCTAGGTAAGTGGATGATAGGTAGATGATAGATATGGATGGATGGATGGATAGGAAGGGATGTAGATGATAGATATGGATAGATGGATGGATGGATAGCTAGGTAAGTGGATGATAGGTAGGTAGATAGATGATAGATAGATAAGGATGGATGGATGGATGGATAGGAAGGGATGTAGATGATAGATATGGATGGATAGCTAGGTAAGTGGATGATAGATAGATAGATGATAGGTAAAGATAAAGGTTCCCCTCGCACATACATGCTAGTCGTTCTTGACTCTAGGGGGCGCTGCTCATCTCCGTTTCAAAGCCGAAGAGCCAGCGGTGTCTGAAGACGTCTCGTGGTCATGTGATCGGCATGACTCAACGCCAAAGGCGCACGGAATGCTGTTCCCTTCCCACCAAAGGTGGTCCTTATTTTTCTACTTACGTGGCCTAGATATTAATATATCGACTGCTTATTTTATTTGCATGAACCCAACATATCTTAAAATGAAATTTGTAACTTAATATGTAACTTCTTGAATTTCTTAAACCTTACAAAATACATAATGTAATACATAAGTGGTTCTCCACTAGGACTCCCAAGATCCTTCTTGCAGTTACTGCTACTGAGCCAGGCACCATTTATATTATAACTGCGGGGGTTTTTTGGCCTAAATGTAGAACCTTCCTTTTCTCATTATTGAATTTCATTTAGTAGGGCCCAACGTTCAAGTCTGTCAAAATCCTTCTGTATCTTAAATCCTGCCTGGGCAGGGGGTTGGACTAGAAGACCTCCAAGGTCCCTTCCAACTCTGTTATTCTATTTCTATTCTAGCTATTTTCTGAAGCGTTGGCTTATTCCTGCCAGTTTGATGTCATCTGTCAAATGTATTGCGTGTCGAGGTCCTGGCCAACTTGGCTGATTTTCCCAAAGCAAAAAGCATGATGCTCAGATTTTTTGGGGATGGGAGACCACCAGGAAATCTCAAGCGGGGAACAAAGATCCCGGGAGAAAGAAAGGGAGAGCCGCCCACTTCCATACTGCCAGCCAGAAAACTCCATGGTGCCACAAGCCAAAGCTACTAGGAATAAAATAAAATAAAAATTAGAAATAAAATTATTATTATTAATCAAGGTTTCTTTTCTTTCTTTTCTTTCTTTTTTTTTGCTGCATGGGGGATTCTGGGAGTTGAAGTCCAGGCATCTTAAAATGGCTGCCTGTTTTTTTTTTTTTTAAAAAGGGGGGGTAAACTGAACCAACGGTGGACCCGGAAGTGCTCTCCGTGCTTGCGCCTCTTGTTTGTGAGTCTATGGAGAGGAACGGCGAGGCGGGCATAGGCGGGGCCTGTTGCTGGGGAAAGAGTCTGAGTCTGCCGGCCGGCCGGCGCATTACGTCATCCCGGCATGCTCCGCGCGGCTCCGACTTTCCACACCCCCCCCACCTCATGTTGTCTCCTCTCTCCCTCTTTCTGAGGTAAATCCAAGATGGCGGCCAGCAACTACTACAAACTGAAGGACGCGGCCGTCGTTGGGCCCCAGCGCGGGTTTTTTAGAAGGGGGATTTTTGGAGGGATCGGGTGTGAGACGGCCCTCCACGCGTACGCCGGCTGGCCCTCTCGGCCGTCTTGTACAACAGCCTTGCTAGGTAGGCCGCTGTTCTTTTTCTTGTTTTGTTTTTTTTTGTAATGGCGGTTACACGCCGGAGTGGTTGGGCCGGCTTTTTCTTTCTTTTTTTTTTTTTAACCTCTGCCGGGATAGGGAGGTTTTCGCGTTATATTTATTATGTGTGTGTGTGTATGTGTGTGTATACACACACACACATATAGGGGTATATGTAAAAATAAAATAAATAAATAAAATAAAATAAATAAATAAAATAAAATTGCTTAGCGCATTGTAAGCCGCCCTGAGTCTCTGGAGAAGGGCGGCATATAAATCAAATTTTATAGATATAGATATAGATATAGATATATATAATTTGATTTATATGCCGCCCTTCTCTTATATATATATATATAAACATTGATAGGACGAGGTATTGCTCCTGTCATCCTCCAGCCGTGGATAATGGGGCTTGGAGTCGTCGTCGTCGTCTTTCCCCCCCACAGAGGGGAAGGAAGGAGTCCTGATTTTGGGGGGGGGGAGAATTCTTGTAGGTTGTGGTTTGGGGTTTTTTTTTTTTTTGGGGGGGGGGGGGGTTGGGTGGAGCTCATTCCAGAGGTTTTTTTTTTTTCTACAACAGCCCGACCAGGTTGGCCAGGGCTGGAAGAAAGCATCTCTGCTGGTGCCCTGCCTGCTCTGGGCCTCCCTCACGAGGCTGACCGTGGGGTGGGGAGGGTGCTAAAGGGTCCTTCTGGAAACCCCCCCCCCCCATTAGCCCCCTCCAGTAGAAGAGACTGGAGGGATGAAGAGACCTGGAAAGATGGAAAGTTAGCACTTTCGAGAATTTTTTTTTTTAAAAAGGCAGAATATTCTATTTCCCCAAAGGAGAAACTTTTGTGCTCTTGGAAAGCAGCCCCCATGTCTTTCTTAATAAGCCCCCAGCAGGACTGGGCCAGCCTGCCTGTTTATTATTTATTTATTACATGTATTTATATGCCGCCATTCTCCCAAAGGACTCAGGGCGGCGAACACAAGTTAAGAAACAAGTACAATAAAATCATAAATTAATCCAAATAATTAATTAGTAGTAAATAAATCTAATAAATCTATTAGTAGTAAATAAATCTATCTACAACAGGAATCTCCAACCTTGGCCACTTTAAACTTGGGGGACTTCAACTCCCAGAATTCCCCAGCCACCTTTGCTGTCCCCCAAGTTTAAAGTGGCCAAGGTTGGAGACCCAGCCCTGATATACAAGAACAAAAGACCTTCAGCCTCAGGGTAATGGGATTAGGCAGGATGGATAAAAACCGATGTTTTGTTTTGTTTTGTTTTTAATCAGATTTTTAAAAAAAATTAAATCGGATTTTTTTATTTGATTTTTTTTTTTATCAAATTCATTTCAATGAAATGCTTTCTGGAGTGAAAAAAAATCTATCTAAAGATAGTTTTCTATTTAAGATGCATTGATCTATTCATTTGCTTAGCGTATGGCGAATAGATGGACGTAAGGTGAAGGTTCCCCTCGCACGTATGTGCCAATCGTTCCCGACTCTAGGGGGCGCTGCTCCTCTCCATTTCAAAGCCGGAGAGCCAGCGTTGTCCGTAGATATCTCCGTGGTCATGGGGCCGGCATGACTCAACGCCAAAGGCGCACGGAATGCTGTTCCCTTCCCACCAAAGGGGGTCCCTATTTTTCTACTTGCATTTTTTTTACGTGCTTTCAAACTGCTAGGTTGGCAGAAGCTGGGACAAGGAACAGGAGCTCACCCCGTTACGTGGCTCCAGGGATTCGAACCGCTGAACTGCCGACCTTTCGATCCACAAGCTCAGCGTCTTAGCCACTGAGCCAATGTTAATGTCCAGTTCACCCAGCCATTCAAGGACAGGGTGGTCCACGCTGAAAAAAAAATCAGTCGCCAGGCCAGTGCAAGCACTTGATGGACATTCAAACACAATGTGATGGACATTTTGTCGAGGAGCACCACAGTCACGCTGAGGACGATGACAACTGTGGGGTCCTTGGTGCTCTCTGAGCTTGTTTGTTTTCTTGCACATGTTTCCTGACCCAACTAGGGAATATCATCAGTGCTAGAATGGGGGAGTAGAACAAGGAGGAAAGGTGGAGGAGGAGAACTGTGGGGTCCTTGGTGCTTTCTCAGCTTGGTGGTTTTCTTGCAGTCATTTCATGACCCAACTAAGGAACATCATCAGGGTTGGAATGGTGTGGGGTTTGCTCTGTTCATATACAGTGATTGCCCTGCCAATGCCAAGGTTCCCTTGGTAGTTCGGGTATCGCATGATTGTTTGTCTGACTGAAAGTCCTGGAGGTTTTTTAGATTTTAAAGGGGCTTTTCCTGTTTAGGATCTAGCCAAGTTCAGGTGAGGAACAGCCTAAAATCATCAGAAGAGGTCAAAGAGGTGCAAGCAATGGGGGCATCTGAGGCCGAAGAGCTTCCGCTTGGCAGTTCTAGAAAGAGTTTTGGAGACCTGCGTGATGTGCAGCCAATGGGCCACAATTACGTGGAAGAGGTGAGTCTGGGAATTAGAGCTGATCTTTTGCCATGAGGGCGATTTTTTTATTGATTTGCTGATTAAATTTATACGCCTCCTGTCTCACAATTCAAAGCCACTCTGGGCCCCATCAGCTGAAATTCCTAGCTCCTATCAAGTTAATCCCCTCTTTTCTGTGACAGCTCCTCAAACACAACAATATTGTGTCTTCACCACCACCACCACCATCCGATCCTTCTCTTCGATAGGCTAAACCAGGGGTCGATAGGCTAAACCAGGGGTCCTCAAACTGGCCCCCAGGCTGGATACAGCCCACCAAAGCAGTTTATCCAGCCTGCACGTCATTCTGAGCCGGGACACACGCTGAGCTGTGTGCCAGCTGTCTGTCAGATGTGCAACATGTACAGCTCTTACACTGGTCTCCTACAGGCCCGCCGCCGTCTAATATCCACCTGCTGGCTTGCATGTATAATGAGTCCAGCAAGGTCTCCTGGAGAGCACATGCATCGGCTGGGTCCTTTATAGTGCCCTAGCTGGCTTAGCCTTTATTTATTTATTTATTTCATGTATTTATATGCCGCCCTTCTCCAGAAGGACTCAGGGCGGCGAACACAAGTTAAAAACATGTACAAATAAAATCGCATTTTAAACCAAATTAACAAATAATAAAACCCAGAATCAGAGTCAGCCTATTTGCTTGAACAGCCAAGTCTTCAGGTCCAGACGGAAGGAGCGGAGATCAGGAGCCGTCCGGAGCTCAGTAGGCAACTCATTCCAGAGGGTGGGAGCACCCACAGAGAACACCCTACCCCTGGGCGCTGCCAGACAACATTGGCTCGCCGTCGGAACCCTAAGGAGAGCGGCCCTATGTGAGCAAACAGGACGGTGAGAGGCAGGCAGGAGAAGGTCCTGCAAATATCCCGGACCTAAGTCATGTAGGGCCTTATAGGTAAGAATCAGCACCTTGAAGCGGATCCGGAGAACCACTGGTAACCAGTGCAGCTCACGCAGGAGAAGTGTTATATGGGAGTAACGAGGGGCTCCCGTAACAACCCGTGCGGCTGCATTCTGGATCAGCTGGAATCTCCGGGTGCATCTCAGGGGCAGGCCCATGTAGAGGAAATTGCAGTAATCCAAGTGGGAAGTAACCAGGGCATGAGTGACAGTGCGAAGGTCATCTCAGTCCAGGAAAGGGCGCACCAGGCGAACCTGTGCGAAGGCCCCCCTGGTCACGGCCGTCAGGTGGTCTTCTAGGGACAGCCGAGCATCCAGGAGGACACCCAAGTTGCGAGCCCTATCAACGGGGGCAAGTTTTTCCCCACCCATCAAAAGTGATGGGTGTCAAGTTTTGAGGTCGTCTCAAATAAATTGCATTTCAAACAAAGTCTTTGAAGAAAAACTCCTATTTATTAAGCACGACATTCCACACCCGACTCCATCGAAGCCAACACTGACTTCCAGACCCAAAACCCTCCCTTTCCGTTCCCCACTCCCCTGCACTCATTGGCCATCTTCCAAGTCTCTGAAACACGAGATGCCGGCATCCACAGTCACTCAGTCTTGGAGGGGTTGAGTCTGAGTCTGTTTCTACCCATCCAGGCCCGCACCGCCTCCAGGCAACGGGACATCACGGAAAGGGCATCTCTGGGGTGGAAATGTATAACTGGGTATCATCAGCATATTGATGATATCTCACCCCGAAGCCATGAATGATCTCACCCAGCGGCTTCATATAGATGTTAAAGAGCAGGGGGGAGAGAATCGACCCCCGAGGCACCCCACAATTTAGGGGCCTCAGGGTGGACCTCTGCCCCCCCGCCCATACAAACTGCAAGCAACCTGAGAGGTAGGAGGAAAACCACTGTAAAACAGTGCCTCCCACCCCTAACCCCACAAGTCGCTGCAGTAGGATACCATGGTCGATGGTATCAAAAGCCGCTGAGAGGTCAAGTAGGACCAGGATGGAAAAACAACCACCATCCCGAGCCCGCCAGAGATCATTCACCAGAGCGACCAATGCCGTTTCCGTGCTGTGCCCGCGTCGGAAGCCCGATTGGTACAGGTCTAGGTATTCCGTTTCCTCCAGGAACTGTGGGAGCTGTTGCGCCACCACAGTCTCAACAACCTTTGCAATGAAGCGAAGGTTGGAGACGGGACGATAGTTATTAAGTGAGTCTGGATCCAGGGAAGGCTTTTTGAGGAGAGGTCGAACCACCGCCTCCTTAAGAGAGGCGGGGAAGACCCCCTCCTTCAACGAAGCGTTGACAATTGCCTGGATCCAGTCTCTAGTCACCTCCCTGGCAGCCGAAACCAACCAGGAGGGACAAGGGTCCAATAAGCAAGTGGAGGAACCAAGTTTACCCATAATCCTGTCCACTTCCTTGACAGAAACAGGGTCAAACTCAACCCAGATATTACTCTCAAGACCTATCCTGGTCTTCCCATTGGATTCTGCCCAGTCAGAGTCCAATCCGGATCTGAGCGATTTTATCATGCAGAAACTGTACAAAATCCTCAGCTCTGCCCCGTAAATGGTCTTCCCTCGCTCCCTGATTGAGGAGGGAGCGGGTCACACGAAACAGGGCCGCTGGACGGTTTTCTGCAGATGCAATGAGGGCGGCAAAGTAATCTCGCTTCGCCACTTCCATCGCCACTAGATAAGACATATGGGTTCTTAACTGTGTTCGATCAGATTTAGACCGGGAGGACCTCCAACTCTCCTCTAGGCGTCTTTTCCGATGTTTCATTTCCTGGAGCTCCATGAAAAACCAAGGAGCGACCCGGGATCTGCATTGGGTCAGAGGCCGCAAAGGCGCAATTCGGTCCAAGGCGTCGGCAGCTGCCCGTTCCCAGGATGCCACCAGAGCCTCAGCTGAATCGCAGGATTGAGAGGTGGGGAATGTCCCAAACTCCGTCAAGAACCTCTCTGGGTCCATCAGGCGCCTGGGGCGGAACCATTTTATGGGTCCCACCTCCCAGCAGCAAGTGTTGGCAGATTGAAAGTCCAGTCTAAGGAGGGAATAGTCGGTACATGACAGGGGGGCGATGGAAAGTTCCCAACTACCACGACCATTTATCCACTGCCCAGAGAGAAAAACCAGGTCGAGTGTGTGTCCTCCCATATGAGTTGGGCCCTGAATAACCTGAGTCAGGTCCATGGCTGCCATGGAAGCCATGAACTCTCGGACTGTCAGAGGAGAGACAGAGACAGTTCTTCCCCGTCAGTTGGAGGGGAAGAAGAACCAGGCAGCAGGCTAAAGAGCCATCTAAAGGTCTGCATAACAAATATTAATTAGGACATGATTCTCTCTTTTTTAGTTATGCTGGCTGGCTCATTTAGCACTGTATTTAGGTTGCTATTGGAGATATGTGTATAAGGACACTGAGGATTGCTAAGGTGAACCTTTTACCAAGGTGTATTTTTATTTTTAATCAGGATATGTGCCTTTGTTATGTGCAAATTATCAATAAATATAATTAATACAATAATATACTACATATACTCACCTTAGCAATCTTCACGTCTCCATACACATTACATACACTTATCTCCATTAGCAACCTAGTGACAGAAATAAATCTGATCTGGAATCTGGGGAGAATTAGCTGATTCTTGCAGCTGCAATGACAAGTGTAAGCGATCAGCAGCCACTCCTACACTCGTACAAAATATTGATAGGCTGAGAGACGCTGGCACTGAATGCACAGATTCGTACACCCGAGGATTACCACTAGCTGTATTCAGGGGCGATCCTCCAATCCCAGCCAAAGACAGCCCCTGGGTGTGCGGATCTGTGCATTCACTGACAGCTCCTCTCAGCCTGTCATTACTTCTGTGCTATAGTGATCCCTATTTTTTGCAGCACTGCTTTTATTAGTATCTTACTAATAGCAATTTTGAATCCCTAGGAAAGAATTATGTCCAGGAAAAGAAAAATTGATTCTGAGTGCTGGATCTTCAAAGAACAGTGGACTTACGATTACTTTTTCATGCAGTATAAGGAAAGAGCTGTTTGCCTGATCTGCCATGATTTAGTGGCTGTGTTCAGGGAATACAATTTGCGTCAACACTACGAAACTCGACATAAAGACAGATATGATTGTTTGGTCGGACAAGCAAGAAAGTACAGAATATTAAAACTGAAAAATGGATTGATAAATCAGCAAAGTGCTCTTGTGAAGCAGGAGCAGCTAAATATTTCATCACTGCGAGCAAATTTTCAAGTTGCCAAGCTAATAGCGTGCACTGGCAGACGATTTGTAGAGGGAGAATTTGTTAAAGAATGCCTCCTTTCTGTTGCCAAAGAGATCTGTCCAGAGAAGGTGGATTTATTTAGTACAGTGAGTCTTTCAGAACCTACAATTACACAAAGGATTGAAGAAATGGGAGACAATTTGCATCAGCATTTGCAAAACTCCTCAAAAAAACTTTGCTATTTTTCGTTGGCACTCGACAAAAGCAATGATGTTTGTGATTCTGCACAACTTCTAATTTTCATTCGTGGGACAAATGATTATTTTGAAGTCACAGAGGAGCTTGCTGCACTGAAAAGCATCGAAGGAACAACAGCAGGAGAGAGTATCTTTGAAAAGGTTCGCCAAACTATGAATGATTTGGAGCTGGACTGGGCTAAACTAGCCAGTGTGACAACTAATGCTGGTCCTAGCATGGCGGGGTGTATGAAAGGAGTGGTTGCACGCATTAACAAAGAGATGGACAAACACAATCACTCGCATCCAATAGCCATACACTGCCTCATCCACCAAGAAGCACTGTGTTGTAAATCACTGAAGTGGGACTCTGTCATGAAAGTTGTGGTATCTTGTGTTAACTTCATTAGGGCACATGCACTAAACCACAGTCAGTTTCAGGAATTTCTATCTGAGCTAAATGTTGCCTATGAAGATATTTTTTACCACACAGAAGTCCCTTGGCTGAGTCAAGGGAGAGTTTTGAAACGTTTCTATGACTTACTTCCACAGGTTTCTGCTTTCCTAATTTCCAAAAACAAAGAAGTACCAGAGCTCAAAGATGAAGAATGGAAATGGCATCTTGCCTTTCTGACAGATGTGACAGAGTTACTCAACAATTTCAGTGAGCAGCTTCAAGGCAAGGGGAAGCTCATCTGTGATATGCTTTCACATGTGAAGACATTTGAAGTAAAATTGAATCTCCTCATTAAACAAGTGAAGGAGGAAAACTTTTGCCATCTCCCTACTGCTCAAAAGCTGTTGGCTGAAAAACCAACAGTTGCATTCCCAAACAAAAAATGTGTGGATTCACTGGAAATGTTACAAAGGGAGTTTCAAATGAGATTTAAAGAGCTGCGTGCACATGAACAGGACATACAGCTTTTCCGGAACCCGTTTTCTGTTGACATTGAAATCGTGGATCCAATTTTCCAAATGGAACTGGCCGAACTACAAAATTGTGACTCTCTGAAAGACGCATTCAAGTCAAGCAGCCTTACTCATTTCTATGCATCTCTCCCCTCTGAGACGTATCCTCACCTCAGGAACCATGCACTCAAAATGGTAACCATCTTTGGCAGTACCTATGTCTGTGAACAGACTTTTTCCCGAATGAAACGTCTGAAGTCCCCAACCCGATCCAGACTGACTGATGAACACTTGCATCACTTGTTACGGCTGGCAGTGACAAATATGGAACCGGACATCGACTATCTCATCAGCCAAAAGCAGGCCCACACTTTCCCCTGAAATACTAGTAGGTTTCTGTTGGTTAAAATTGTTCTTCGTTTTAAATATTATATTATTTCATGGTTTTTTTGCACTACAAATAAGATATGTGTAGTGTGCATTGGAATTCGCTCATGTTTTTTTTTTTCAAACTATAGTCCAGCCCCCCTCCCCCAACAGTCTGAGGAACCGTGAATTGTGGCCCCGTTTGAAAAGTTTGAGGACCCGCCTGGGCTAGACATACCTAGTTTTATTTATTTGGAAAATTTATATTGCTGCCTACTTGCTCAAGGCGGCTTACAGGAAATAAAAACACAGTATAAATGAAATAAATAAAAATAATAACCCCCATCCCCGCTCACTCACACTCATACCCCCCATTTAATGGCCTCTATCCTGCTCTGGGTTCCCCAGGCCCGCTAGCAGAACCACATCTTCAGGGCCTTCCGAAAGAGTGTCAGAGGGGGGCCGGTCTAATTTACGAGGGGAGGATGTTCCAGAGGAAGGGAGCCACCACGGAAAAGGTAGTTGCTTCAACTCTTCATCGTACAATTTAACCTCTAGCGCCCCTGATCATCTTTCTTACTCTACAACAAAGCTTTAGCTTTCCATCCCATCTTAGGGTGCTCAGTGTGGTCCAGTCCTTTCTCTATACAATTCAACCGATAAAATATGTAATATTAACATTCAAATTAAAAATAGTGTTATAAAAAATTAAAATCATAGAACCATGACAAGCTTCAAAGGAGGCGGGGAATCCTAAAATGGCCATTTAACATTGGATTAGCTCTACAAACAAACTGATTGCAATGCCCAACTTTTGACAGGTTGGGATTCAAGGCAAGGCTGTGGGGGGTAGGAGGGGGCAGTTTGCTTCCTTCATTCTCTTCCCCAGCTGTGTAGGATGAAAACTCCATAATCCCCAGCCAGCACAGTAGGTATTGTCATTCAAGAGCGTCAGGTTAGGGAGGCTGTTCAAGGAGATGGCAAGCAACGTATCAACAACGTTCCTTTCTAGGGTGAGGCAGGGACTGATCCCAGGTGAGTTTGGATTGGTGCCCTCATCTAAATCCACCAGTTCCGATTTTGACTTAAGAAAATGGGAGCAAAGGTATTAAGCCTGTTTTTCCCAAGATAATCCTCTTCAGCTGCTTCAACCTTTGGCCCCTGAAGTTCCCAGCAGATGTGGGTGAGCTAAAATTGACAAGGCTTTGCGCAGGATGAGGACCCAGATTGTTGGGGGTGATATGCTGACTGCCTGCTGTAAAGCACTGTGAAGCGGTATATAAGTCTAAGGGCTATTGCTATCTGTCTACCTACCTACCTTATCTATCTATCTTAATCTCCCTCTCTTTCTATCTTATCTATCTTCTGTTTATCTACAATCCCTGCTGGCGCAGTGGTTAGAATGCAGGCTAATTCTGCCGGCTGCCAGCAGTTCAATCCTGACTGGCCCAAGGTTCACTCAGCCTTCCATCCTTCCAAGGTAGGTAAAAGGAGCACGCAGATTGTTAGGTGCCATAGGCTGACTGTCTAAACTGCTTAGAGAGGGCTGTAAAGCACTGTGAAGTGATATAGAAGTCTAAGCGCCACGGCTATTGTCCGGGTTGGAGTGTACCAAATGCAGCCTCCACCTGGCTCTGTGTCAGCATTTCTGAGTAGCAGTGTGTGTATCAAGCTACATGCATGCAAACCCTGATAATAATCATCCCCCCCCCCCGTCACTTTCTACCAACGGACATGGCTACATGGCAATATGTACGTATACACACACAACACACACAAACCCCTCAGCAAAATTTCTTAACCGCTTGCCCGGTTGCATAGGTAGTCCTCATTGAATGACCACTTGTTCAGGGATTGGAGTTACAGTGCCGCTGGAAAAGGGAGGCTTGTGTGTTTTCTTGCAGACCTTTCTCAATGAACTGATGATGCTATCTAATTGGGTAATAAAACATCTGCAAGTAAACAACCCAGTTCAGGTCATAAGGAAGGTTGTAAAATGGGGCAAAACTCAGTTAACGTCTTGATTAGTCACACAAATTTTGGGCTCTGTTGTGATTGTAAGTCAAGGGCTACGTATAATGTGACCAAGAGCAGGGAGCTGTCTGGTTCCTACTTGGCAGCAAATGGCTCTTTCAAGATCTGCCAACTCCCAGATTAAAAGAGAAAGTGAAACAACACAAACACCCATCTAGCCCGGAATTTCTTGCAAGACGTCAGCTGCTGAAACAATTTCCTAGGAGAGGGGATTTCCGAGTGACCAGCTCTGCGCCCAGTTTTAACCATTAGTAACTTTTAAGTAGTTTTCCTTCTCGTTTGTTTTTCTCCAATGCCACTGTGATAGGAAGACCTTCCAGATCTTTGGTGGGAGAGCCCATCATCCACCTCTTGGTACTGTGCATACTTTTCATTTTGGAGTTTCTGTGGTTCAACGTTGTGCTCTAAACCAGGGGTCCCCCAACCCCCAAACAGGGCTATGCAAGCAAACACCCCATCCGTGGGGTGCAGGCATCATGTGAAACCACGTCCCTTCCAGTCTGCGGAAAAACCTTACTCCATGGAACCGGTCCCTGTTGCCCAAAAGATTGGGGGCCACTGGTCTTAACTCTGTGCAGACCAAAACCCCCCCCCCCCCCAAAAAAAAGTCAGCAGCTCTTGGTGGCAATGGATGAATCTAGCTATTTCTACTTTCCTCTTATTTTCCCAATTTTGAGTTTGGTCACAGGATTTAGGGGGGGGAAATTAACACAGATCATCTAATGCATTTTCATGTGTATTTTTCCCAAAGATTTATGCACTTTTTTGAGAATTAACTACAAATACGAATTTCAAAGGAAAGCTATGCACTATTTGCCTACTAGTCCTAGAGCTCAGTATGAAGTAAGGTACCTACCAAATTCTATTGGCAAATATCTATTTGTTCGTTTATAGTTGCTTTATCCTCCTCTAGTGAACCCTCAGGGCAGCTTCAAGTTAATGTATTGGACCATAATATTTGCTGGTATTAACTTATTTAGATTTGTGTGTGTGTTTGTGCATGCACGAATATCTCTCCGTCTTCTCCCTCCCTTTCTTCTTTCCTTCCTTCCTCCCTCCCTCCCTCTTTCCTTCCTCCCCAGAGTTATCCTGCTGTAAGATGGGTGGCCAATAAAATGTATAAATAAATAAATGGGATAGCGTATTTTTCGGAGTATAAGACGCACCTTTTTTTCCCCTTAAAAGTGGGTGAAAATTTAGGTGCGTCTTATACACCAAATGTAGCCCCGCCCACCCACTGGCCCCCACCCTTTGGCCTCTGCCGCGCAGGAGTTACCTCCTTGCAAGCAACAGCAAGAAAAAAAACAGCTCCTTTCAGCTTCAGCACAGCCTAATTAGCACAAGTTGATTAGATCAGCCTCCCAACTCAGCTGATTTGCTCTCAGCTGTTTTGCGCAGGGCTCTGCTGTTTGCTTGCAAGGAAGAAAATTGCTGGAGCAGATTTTTTTTTTCCCCTTGTGCTAATCAAGCTATGCTGAAAATGTAAATGAAAGTAAAGCAGGCTGTTTGCTGTAACGAGGCAAAATTGCTCAGAGGCAGAGGGAGATTTCTTTTTCTTCTTTTCCTCACCAAAAAAGGTAGGTGCGTCTTATACTCCGAAAAATACAGTAAACGATTAAAATATTTCAACACTCCTTTCTTCTCTCCTGCAGTTCTCAGCTCTTGGGTAGATTCCTAGTTGAAGTGCCCCGTTCAGTAATCGGAATCATGCAGGCTGTGCTCTTCCTGGATTCCCTGACCGTCTGTGGAATCCAAAATTGGATTTTGAAGAACCAGGCAAGACAGAGTATTGGCACTTTTGAACTTCAGTGTTGCAGAAGACCATGGACAGCCAAGAAAACAATAGGACAAATCAGGCCAGAATTCTTACTCAAGTCCACAATTACTTCAATTACTTTGCCAATGTTTTTTTAAACAGTTTTATGTCTATATTTTCACATTATATACATAAGTGCTTAGTGAACAGCACTTTGTCTGCATCAATTTATTTTTATACAATAATATTTTCCCGTTCCTAATTTCTACCTCTACTGTCCAACCATTTATAAAACAAGTCCCATGTTCAAAAATATTCTGTGTCTTCTTTTTCTTTTATTTTTAATGTATATTTCTGCACAATCTTAAAAATTTTTAATTACATCTGTGGGGGGTTTCTCATTTTTCCAGTACTATGCTTAAACAATTCCTGCTGCTGTCAAGGCATGTAATATTAAATATAGATTCCCTTTTTCATACCTTTCAGGTATTATGCCTAGCAAGAATATTTCAGGCTTATAATCTATGTGTTGTTTTAACATTTTCTCCAACCACGGGTGTATTTTTGTCCAATATTTCTTTGCTTTTCTACATGGCCACCACATATGATAATACGTCCCTGGTGTCTGGTTACATTCCCAATATTTGGTGGACATACTTTTAAACATCTTTGCTAATCTTGCCAGTGATAGATGCCACCTATAGAGCATTTTATATAAATTTTCCTTATATGCAGTTGACATTGTCAACTTACAATTTCTTTCCCAAAGCTTTTGACATTCGTCTAATCTATAGTACAGTGATGGCTAACCTTTTCCGGACTGAGTGCCCAAAGCACGTGTGCATGTGAATCCCCAAAATGCAATGCGTGTGGCCCCTGTGCATGCACCCCGATCCCCATGCATGCATGCACATGGCTCTGCACCTGCAGCCCCCTGCGCACACCCCGCCCCCTGCACATATGTTGCAAAGATCCGAAGACCAGCTGGCCAGCGAGTGGCGCATGCGCAGCAGAGCTGAACTAGGGGCATCAGCTTGTGTGCCATCAGAGAGGGCACTGCATGCCACCTCTGGCACGCGTGCCATAGGCTCGCCATCATGGCTATAGTATATCCAAAGTTCTTTGCCCATACTACCTGTGTTTCCCCGAAAATAAGACCCTGTCTTATTTTATTTTTTTTGCCACTAAAAAAAGACACCAGGTCTTATTTGGGGGGGGGGGTTGCCGTCCACTGACTTGCCTCCACTGACTCGCCTCACTTGCGCATGTCGCCCCCAATCTCCATTGACGCATTGTTTCCAGAGATATTTCCTTACCTAAAAAGAGAAAATCGCCAAGGGTAAGGGGGAAAAGCAGTAGGAACAACTTCCTTCTAGCTTCCTCATTAAGTTTCCTTGTGGGAATCTGGCAGGAAGGATCAGCAGGCAGGTAAGTGGCTGGAGACAGAGCGAGGGGATTGCAAGACTGGCTGGGAAACTGTCACAGAGCATTGGAAATAAAGATCCTATGACCTTCAGCAGCCAGTAGCATTGAAGCAGCCACAACTTCCCCAAATGTCATTCTCTCTAGAGTCATGGGTCGCATTTTGGGCGCATTCTGTAAATTAGCCCATCTGAGGTATCTTGGTTCAAAAATTGTTGTCCCGTGATGCACCGTTTTCACACAGCTAAAGGTCATCACAAAAAGACTTGGATTGAATTGGACTTCCAGCCGGCTCCAGAATTCAATGGGGGGCTTCTGGTTAGGACCTTTGTGGCTCTTTGAGTGTTTAAGGTTGCCGACCCCTGGTATAAACTATTGGCCAGGCCGATCCAGGTTTAGGATCTCAGTCAGCATCTCTGGATAGGGTCAGTCAGTCAGTCTGTGTGTATCTGCGTGTGTTAATAAAACATTACAGTTTTTTGTTTTTGTTTTATTCTTATTTATTTATTTATTGGTTGGATTTATATGCCGCCCTTCTCTGGAGACTCAGGGCGGCTTACAATGCGTTAAGCAATAGCCTTCATACTTTTGTATATACCTGCTTAGTAGGGCTTCCCCCCCCCCAGCGGTGTTCTTTTTTATACAAAGTCAGCTTATTGCCACCACAAACCGGGTCCTCCTTTTACCTACCTCGGAAGGATGGAAGGCTGAGTCAACCTTGCCACATATGCTATTGTCAATCCTCGTACATATGCTTGTGTTGTATCCCAGTTTTATAACTCAATGGACAATGAGTAGACTCTTTTTCTTACTATCTTGTTCCTCAACCATACCGGACAGAAAAGTGCCTTATTCTTCATGTCGCTGGCATCTTCACTTTAATTTTATCAATGGGAAAGAAATAAGAGATTCTCAGGGCTTCCTCTCCACAACTCTCCCATTAGCTGGAGAAGGTACTTCTTGTGCCATATCCGCCATCGGATGTTGTCGATCATGCTGTCAATCTTATTTTTATCAACAGCCGGACAAAAAAGCTCTTGAGTTTTGTCCAAACCAGTCCCTTAGATTTTGAAGCCATGATGTTCTTCATCTGCCTGGACCTCGTTTGCCTTCAATCTTTCCTTGGAAGATTAAGTGACATGGCGTGTTAAGTGGCGTGTTTTTCTGGGTGTCGCATCCCATGTCCAAAATATTCTAACTTTTCGCTTTTTTATGGTTTTGATGATTTCCCTTGGCTTTTCCCAGGCGGCTGATCACCTCCTCATTTCTGATTTTGTCAACCCAGCTTATAACAGCTGCCTGTAAACCTGCATTTCACATGGAGAAGGTACTGAGCTTGGAAATAATTAGTCTTTTTTGTTCTTAAAAAAAAGCAGCATTCAACTCTTAAAGGATTCCACACTAAGTGTTTAAGTAATGAGTTCTTGAATCCAAATATGTGACCAGGTGTGAGATTGAAAAATTTTAGCAACCGGTTCTCTGCCCGGTTGCTGGGTGGGCGTGGCCATAGGGGTGTGCCTACTCGGTCTCCTGCGCCATGGTGGGGGGGTGGTGTTTTCATCCTCCCCAGACTCCAGAGGCTTTCCTCGAGCCTCTGGGAGAGTGAAAACGGCCTCCCCTGGGCTCCGGAGGCCCTTCAGAGGCTGGAAATGGGTCTGTTTCCAGACTTCTGGTACTTTGGTAGGCCTGTTTTTCACCCTCCGCAGGCTCCAGAAGCTTTCCTTGAGCGTCCAGGAGGGTGAAAACAGCTTTCCCTGGGCTCCGGAAGTCCTCCGGAGGCCAGAAATGGCCCGTTTCTGAACTTCCAGAACTTCCGAGAGGCCCGTTTTTAGCCCTCCCAGAGCCCCCGCTCATCCAAGACGGGCTGTGTGGAGAGTCCTTGCAACTACCGGTTCAGTGAACCAGATGTAAAATTAGCATCCGGTTCGCCTGAACTGGTCCGAACCGGCTGAATCCCACCTCTGGATGTGACCGAGTAAAAGAAGGCATTTGCAGGCCTTTCTAAAATAAAATTGAGCCATTTTACCAAAAACGTTTTATCAGGTTTGAATCTCCAGGAATTCCACTTCAGGTGGATTTAGCTCTTTATACCTTTTTTTCCCCTTCTTTTAATGCTTCACTACTTTTTCCACCCGATCCAAAAGGAAATTCGGCTCCGACTGTTCTTTGGAAGGAGAGATGCTGAAGAAGCTGAAATACTTTGGCCACCAGATGAGAAGAGAAGACTCTCTGGGACTGAAGTGGTGTAGCATTTCCTGCCTACTGTATGTGGCGGGTTGGTCTAGAAGACCTCCGAGGTCCCTTCCAACTTTGTTAAATTATTATTAAAAAGACCCCGAGGTTGGGAAAGATGGTGACGGCAGAAGACGAGACGATTAGATAATGTAATCGACACAACGAACGTGAATTTGGGCAAAATCAGGGAGATAGTGAAGGATATGGGGGCCTGACGTGCTATGCTCAGTGAGGGTCATGGAACAGTCAAGACACGACTTAGCAACTGAACGATCTTTTATTTTTATTTTATTTATTTTATTATATTTCTATACCGCCTTCCCCTGTGGGACTCAGGGCGGTGTACAGCCAGGATAAAACATAGCATATAAAAGTTAAAAACATTTAAAAAAACAATTAAATAATTTTGGCCCGAATTTAAAGCAACCCAATTAAAATCGAAATTCGATTAAAAAAAACTGAGAGGATGGGATCAAGCCAGCCCAGCTAGATGGAACAAGTGTGTCTTCAGGGCCCGACGAAAAGTCCGGAGGTCTGATATTGTGCATATCTCAGGGGGCAGGTCGTTCCAGAGGGCAGGTGCTGCCGCAGAGAAGGCCCTCCCCCTGGGGGTCGCCAGCCGACACTGCCTGGCCGACGGCACCCTGAGGAGGCCCTCTCTGTGTGAGCGAACCGGTCGGTGGGAGGCAATTGGTGGCAGAAGGCGGTCTCGCAAATACCCCGGCCCTAAGCCATGGAGCGCTTTAAAGGTGGTCACCAACACCTTGAAGCGCACCCGGAAGACCACAGGAAGCCAGTGCAGCTCGTGCAGGAGAGGTGTTATATGTGAGCGTCCCGTCGCTCCCATAATCCCCTGCGCGGCCGCATTTTGGACCAACTGCAGCCTCCGGGTGCACCCCGAGGAGAGCCCCATGTAGAGAGCATTGCAGTAGTCCAGGCGGGAAGTGACGAGTGCTTGAGTGACCGTGCGTAGGGAGTCCCGATCCAGAAAGGGACGCAACTGGCGTATCAGGCGAACCTGATAAAAATCCCCCCTGGCCAAGACCGTCATATGCTGTTCTAAAGACAGCCGTGCATCCAGGAGGACACCTAAGTTTCGAGCCCTCTCCGTGGGGGCTTCTGTGGAATATAAAAAATAGAGTAACAGAATTGGAAGGGATCTTCGAGGTCTTCTAGTCCAGCTCCTTGCTCAAGCAGAAGGCCCTATCCCAGGCATGTCAAACTCAATTTCATTGAGGGCTGCATCAGGGCTGTGATTGACAGTGGGGGTGTGGCTGACTGGGTGGGCATGGCCAACTTGATGCCACTCACTGGGCATTGCCGACTGGGTGGGCGTGGCCAGCTTGACGCCACTCCCCAAACTGCCGGCACGTGTCCTCTTCGCACGGAGTAGACCAGGCTGAAGCCACTCTGGCCTGATGTTTCCTCTTCGCGTTGGATAGACTGGGCCGAAGCTGGCCCTTTACATTTTCCAGGGTGGCCCTATGGGCCGGATCCAGCCTACGGGCCTTGTGTTTGACACCCCTGCCCTATAGCATTTCAGACAAGCGTCTATCCAGTCTCTTCTTAAAAACCTCCAGTGTTGGAGCACCTAAAACTTCTGGTGGCAAGCTGTTCCACTGGTTAACTGGTCAATTCTTCCATTGTTTTGAGGTTTC